ACAAGGTACTACTATATTCATTTATTACAAAGGGTATTAAAATCTGTTCCCTTGGAGAATTAAGATTTATTTCACAAGATAATTATTTATTTTCTTTTCTCGTCTCATTGTGTAGTAACATTAATATTAATTATTTTGTTTACTAGAGAGTAAACAAAAGAAAGAGTTCCGAGAATTAGGATGGCGATGGACGGCGATAGCGCACTTCGTCGGAGTTTAGACACTCCTCGACGAGAACGCTCATGTTCCGGTCGCAAACAATTCGGTATGCGCTCGAGAAGTAGAAGTTCGAGTCACAGCTGCTGCCTGCTGGAGAAGGAGCAGGCTCGATTGTGAAAGCAGGAGCGGGTTCGTCGAATGGAGATGGACCTACAAAAGGAATGTGACCACGGTCAAAGTCGGCGCACAACAGGACCGTTTTGGATTCTTTAACGGCACAAAATCTTAATGCAGATGAAAAGAAATGGGACAATCAGTTAGGCAGAATACAGTGGGGCTTGAATAATACCATCCAAAAGTCGCTAGGTAGGTCTACCTCGGAAATCAGGTTTGCACTGTCATGAATAGCGAGTTCAATGCAGCACTATATGAGATAACAGAACAAACACTTAAGGCGATTGTGTCCCCAATGGCCTTGAGTGTTTGAGCGGTCTTAGCGCGCTGCACCCGCGCACCCCGCAAGAAAGCATCAAACAATCCACGCACTATTATACTAGAACACCGATCAAAGGATACGCCACATAGGCGCGCGTCATAGTTTACTGCCTACGAGCGATAAAATCAGAAAAGAGTTAAAGAGATGTAATGCTAAAATTATCGTACTATACAATATAATTAATTATAATCCTACTAATAATCTAAAATACGTGAATGATTGCAAGTTTGTTAATCACGCGTAAAATAAACGGCTAAACCGATTTTCATGAAATTTGGCAAATAATAAATAAATATCATTGTAGGTAGTTTCTCTGTTATGCGGTAACAGACTGACTGACAGACAGACAGGCAGACACAAAAATTCTAAAAACTATAGATTTGGCCTCTGTATCGATAATAATTTCTATTTCAATAAGATTTTCCAAAAAATATTTAATGTACAGATTCGGCTTAGTTACAATTTTATTATATGTATTGGTGGTTGATCCATAGATGTTTATGAAAGAAAATATCAATCAATCAATCAATCAGCCTATCGCCCACTGCTGAACAAAGGCCTCCTCCAATGAGCGCCAACCATCCCGGTCCTGGGCAGAAAAAAAATATATAAAATAAAAATTCTTATAAGTTTATATCAGAGTTATTTTCGAAGGAATTGACATGTATAGCTATGGGATTGATCGGCGGGAGTTATGACGGACGGATGGATGCCTTTCGATATTTTTAGCTGAAGGAAAGATATAAGAAATTGTTGTTGTTAAGGGTTTCTTTATAGATTGTATTTGAAACTGATAAATATAACAGTTTGAGAGTTGATGCTGGTTTTCTCTGAAATATATTATACATATAACAACAAAGGTGAAATAAATATGTAAGTACATAATAATCAGATGTAGTTATGATAAATGTATAAGTTACTACTTTAGAATATCAAAAATGAAAGTATATAGGTATACATTTATATATTACTAGCGACTCACCCTCGCTTCGCTCGGGTTCATCCCTAGCTTGCTTCCCAATTCAAATTTTCATCCCCATTTTTATTCTCTTACGGGATGATTTCCGGGATGAAAAGTATCTTATGTCCTTAACAGGGTCTCAAACTATCTTCTTACCAAATTTCATCTAAATCGGTTCAGTAGATCCAGAGATAGCCCCCTACAACGTCACAAACTCACAAAATTAGAAACTTTAGCTCTTTATAATATTAGTATAGATAGATAATATTATAATCATACATTTATGTAACCTTACCTAATTTTTAATTTACCTACTTGAGATAATTTTATTACTGTATAAAAGTACAAGACTTTCTGAATAGCCACGAATTCCCCAAGGATAGTGGATGAAAATTTGCTTTAGAATTTGCTTTACATATTAGCTATTCGCACTTAAAGAAAGTTAGGTCAAACAGCTGAGGATCCCCGGCGGGCGAGTACGTCGAAGAAATCATGGCGCTCAGCACTTTGTTCTGTCTAATCTATCTACCTACATAATGTTTTTTGAGTCAGTACAAGATAAAAAATATTTATTAAAATATAAAATTATATTAATTAAGTACTTAAATTCCTTACTACTGCATGTTATTAAGTAGGTGCCTACTAAATTCAGTTATCCACCATATTACAAAGAAGTAAAATGCAACGAACACACAACAGAATATACATTTTTTTTATTCTAAACTAGCGAACACAAAAACAAATCTATCCCACGGGAATTTCACATTTTTCGGGATAAAAAGTAACCTATGTACTATTCCAGACAATAATCTTACTCTGTGCCAAATTTCTCCTGATCCGTTCAGCCGTTCTGGCGTAATGAAATAACAAACATCCAAAAATCCATCTAAACTTTCACATTTAAAATATTATAGTAAGATTTAAAAATAAAAGTAAGATTTCGTCCGAAAAAATATAATGTGAATTATTTTTCTTCATAACATTTCGTACAAATTCATTTCTTAACTAAAGATACGTTAGAATTTACAAAGCACATACCGTTTGTTAAAGTTGGTTAGCAATTATACTTCTATCGCTTTAGATATACATAATAAATATTGTGACTATAATAAAAGGGATTTAATTACATACTCAATTGTGTGGAACAAACATTTTAAATATTTGAAAAGTTCATTTTAATAGTTGTGCCTCATGCATGTTACAAAATCAGAGGTACTCAAATATCTCAATTGCAATTTTAGTGTTACTTTTTAAATAATTTTTGTGTGAGTGTGAACTTAAAATATACAAGTATATTAGGTACATTAAAACCGATACAAGCGGACTTATGGCCGATTTCACCAACGTCACCTAAGTTTAAGGGATCCCCCAAGCATGGTTAGGGGGCTGTTAGGGGACAGTTTCTGTTTCACCGACAGTTAGGGGTCACCTAAATGTTAAAATGCCACCTAAATATAGGTAAAACGAAATTTAATTTAGGGGCTAGTTCAGGGGAACCTTTAAGCTAGGGATCCCATACGTAGGTGGTAGTTTATCGGATATTAGTGAAATCGGGCATTGGAGTCGCAGGAAGCGCGATATAAATAATAGGCAATTATCAGCATTTTAAAGTTGTACTTGTTTAAGGTTTTGATTACAAATTATAACGGACTACCCTCACTTCGCTCAGGGGCGCCCATAGAAAAAGTCATTTTTTGGAAAATTAGAAAATAATTCAAATTTAATTGACAAATCCCATAATAAATATTATAAATGCGAAAGTTTGGATGGATGTTTGGATGTTTGTTACTCAATCAAGCCGGATAAACGGATCTCGATGTTTAGCACAGATATAGATTCACAGTCTCGATTAGCACATAAGTTACTATTTAACCCGTACAAATGTATGGTTCTCGTGGGATAGGTTTGTTTTTGTTTTTCATAGAGCAAGGGATCGATTATATATTCCATACTAACCGTTAAAACGTAAATAGAGACGAAGTTGAGTCGCTAGTATGATCATATTTTCAAAATGCTTACAAATGTACACTTGTAAAGTTGTACCGTAAGATTAACCCTAAAAACGTACCCGGCGGCAGGGGACGTTAGTTTATAGAACAAAAATCTTTAATAACTATAGTTTTGGAATCTATATTCTGTACATCACACGTGTGAGTCATTGTATTTCATGGACATATTTCATTGGTTTACTATTTCATTTATTACTAGACCCCTACTACTACTACTACACCCTCTACTACACCCTCGCTCGGGTTCGTCCTACTTACGTTTTAACGGGTAGTATCGCTTTCTCAGAAATGAGATATTTTCTCGCTGTAAAAAGTATCCTATATGTTGACCCGGATAACCAGATATCATCATACCAAATTACATCAAAATCCCTCCAGTGGTTTTTCCGTGATTCAGTAACAGACTCGGCCTAACCTAACGGACTCGGCGGACAGATTCGGCCTCTGTATCGATAATAATGCCTATTCCAATAAGATTTTGTAAAAAATATTTAATGTTCAGATTCAGCTTAGTTACAGTTTTATTATATGTATAGATATGTACAGATATGTAGTAGTATATATGATTTAGTAATTATATATAAAACTTTTTATAAAAAAATTAAGCTTATACTAAAATAACGATTAACATGTTATCTTTTATAAGGAAAAGTAATCATGTGTCCAACTGATTGCAGTAGGACTTAACATTGGGTAAAAATAATTAGAACAATCAAAATTGAATATAGCCAACAGATGTCACAGAAAATATCTAGTATGTTTTGTAGGGTAACATTTCAAGACTTTAATTGGGCCGAAAATTGTCACTTACTTATTCTTATTAATCTTGCGCTTTGTGAAGTTGAAATTAACGCAATTATGTTATATTTTATGTAAATTCAGTGAGCTAGAGTTATTTACTGCTTCGCTTAGTCTCCCATTTTAAGTAGGATACAACGGCCGTATTCAATATCTTTGAGAGTAATAAAATAATGTTAATAAGTTTATTTTAAAATAATAATTATGTCAGTATAAATAAGATAATTCGTAAATAGTAGATTACTTAATTGTAGCTTTAATGAAAATAAAAGTTTACAATATATAATAATTGTTAAATACAATAATGCAATACTTAATTTAATAAGCATGAGTGCTAATAGAAAATGTTGTAATAAATAGTTTTAACAGTAATTTAAAAATAAGCAATAAAAATATTTTTACTTTATTTTGCACTTTTTTACAGCTTTAACTTATCTACTATGCATTCATGCAAAACACTGTAGCCAACAGTAATTATGCAACAATAATTCTTACATTTTTAATCTGAGCTTTCTCACGGTATTCGTATAAAAGCATGAAAAAGAAATACAATTTATGCAAAGTGAAAATAAGCAAAATGTCACACGCAAAACAGTTATCAAGCAAGAAAGTCGTCGATATCGAAGAACATGAAAAGGTTGTACTAAAATAAAGTTAAAATAACAAATGGAAATCTACTAATAAAGTAAAAAAATAAGTATATGATGGCCACCGCCTACTTTGCCGAGGATCTGGGGTTCCATTTCTGCAAAAGATTAATATATTTCTATTACATAGTTATTTGCTGGCCTCTCCATCTTTTATAATATTGTTATACATTATACTTCATTATTTTTATAAGTTCCTTATTGCTTTTTGATACCTATTTATATTTTTAGGTCTATGAAGGTAATGTAAACGATTATGATGCAACTTACGCACTTCCTAAAAAGATTTTAAAAACGGTTGGATTTCGCATTCTTATTAATGATACAAATATAGCGAGGTATGTATTATATATACGTTACTAATAAATAGATAAATTTTACGTTAGTTAACCAAATTAATTTGTTGGCAATTCTTTTTTAGCATCTGCTGGAACTTGTATTTCTGGTTCAATCTTATCAACGTTCTCTTAGCGACGATTTTGGAAAGTATCAATATGTTCTTGATGGCTTCAGTAGGGACTTTTCTTGATCTTTTCACTATGATGCCTTGTGTCGGCTACCTGCTTGTAGGTTTGTATAAGTTTGTAATATAGAAAAAATATTGTTATAAGTACTATGCCTACAGTGTACTAACGACTCCGCCTACTTTTTTATTCTGCTAAATATATTTATATTCTACGGAAATCCACCACCTCGCGACATAAAGCAGCTTATTTTCTTCCATGTTATCCGGTAAGTGTCCAACATGGTAGGTGTACCGCATGAGGTGACAAATAAATCAGTTTAAATCTGATTTATTGTAATTGCTGTAGATATAAATAGACATGAGATTTGAGAGGGAATAATCTTCAAGAAAGAAAAATAACACGTCAATGTCAGGCGGATGAGCTACCAAATGCTTCAAGATATAAATGCTAAATCGAAAGAAATCTTTATGCTTTTTATAATATACTAGCGGCTTACCTTCGATTCACTCGGGTTTTTGCCATCCATTTTTTTGCTTTATTTCAAACTGTTTACTCAACGCACGCCAATAAAGCTTCAATTAAAGTTATAAACAAAAACAAACCTATCCCACGGGAACTGTACATTTTCCGGGATAAAAAGTAGCCTATGTGTTATCCCAGACTATAATTTATCTCTGTGCTATAAATTTTATCCAGATCCGTTCAGCCGTTCTGGCGTGAAATAGTAACAAATACTGAAATAGTAACAAAATAACAAAAACTCACAAACTTTCACATTTCTAATATTAATACTTATTCTGACAGTAAAATTCGTGCTCATTACACAAACGAATGCCCCCAGCGGGACTCGAACCCGTCACCCTTGGCACAGCAAGTAGAGTCACTACAAACCAAGCCAAACGTGTCATCAATGTGTTTATGTCGTTTAAAGTGATTTTAAAAGCGAAAATACTTACCACATTCTAATTTGTCTAAAATAAAGCATTTTTTTCAGCCACCGCCAAAGCTTACAAGATAAAACGTTATCGGTCTGTATACGAAAACCTGGTGTACGAGCTAAGAGATATGTGGCCAAGTGGCCGCATCACTGAAGAAGAGCATAAGATTATAAACGAAGCTCTCATTCGCCTACGCTTTGTAGTGAAAGGTAAGACAAAGGCAGGTAAAGTTATTTGAATCAGGTTTTAGCTAATCTTCTAGTTATTTGTACGAAAGTTAATATTTTAAAGAAAAAATAAGAATGGTTCAAATATCAATATTTTTTAAACAATTATTTGATTATCTTGTTTGTTTTTTTAAACGAATAAAGCTTATAGCAGTTTTAAACAGAACTGCTTTCTTATAAATGTTAAATATACCTACTAGCGACGCCCCTTAGGTTCGACTCTAGTTAAACGTAAGTATTTGTACCTTGAATTATATGATGTTCTTCTGACCGATTACGCCCACGGCGGCCAATCTCATTGAGGCTTAATATACAGAAAGACTCAATAACTAAACTTGGCCCGACCCGGGACTCAAACCCAGGACTTCCGGGTGTGCAGCCGTACATGCTACCTACTACACCATCGAGGCAGTTAAATTGAATTATAATACCTAATACTTCAAATAAAACATTTTCTCGTAGTGAAAAATAACTTATGTGACTCTACAAGACTCCAACAAAAAGTAGTAGTGTCTCTATACAAAGAGTCACATAAATACACCGGTCCGTTGCGACGGACAAGTAAATGAAGGAAGCACAAATAATGGAACAAACACACGATTAAATTATTAATCAAATCATCAAATCAATCAAAGAGTTGATGATACCTAAATCTTATTTACGTTTTCTATTTTTGTGTTTTAATTTTTGAAATATTCAGCATACTTCAGCTGCAACATGACACTCGGCTCTATCTTCACTGTACCACCTTTCATTTCGTATATTAGAAACAAAGCAGGTTTTGGCGATGAAATAATGTTGCCTTTCTTCTACTGGTTACCTTACGATCCGTGCATAGGAAATCGTTTTGAAATAACAATGTTTCTTCAAACTTGTCATTGTAAGTGCTTAAATATACATATTCAATTAAAAGTAGTATAGTGTAAATAATTTTTTTTGTAAAATACATAATAATAGCATTTTATTTATGTGAAAGAAATATTGAATTACAAACTTTTCAATTTATATAGTTTAGCCCCACATTTACATTTTTTAAATTAAAATTGTGTTGCATATCGGTAGGTATCTGATGTAATGGCTGAGTGTAACTTGTATGCTTTCTATCTAGACATATAATTAAAATATTTCTCAAATGTTAACATTTTTGTAATGAAATATTTTCAGGCTTTCTCGCAGCTGGCTTTATGTTATCAGGAGATCTGTTATTCTGTACCTTTCTAAGCCATATAACTACACAGTTTGCTTTGCTCGCTGTACGAATTAATAAATTAATATATGTCCCTATTGATGATCAACTCATCGAATCTTATCCCTTAGGTAAGTGTACAAAATAACCCAAAAGGAAAGACAAAGATAAAATGACATATACCGTGGCATACTTCAACATTAATAGAATAGTTGAGTGCAGTAGTCAATTGACTGGCTTGTGCATTAATATTCAAAGATTTGATTTTCTCTTGAGTCAAGAGTACCTACTTACCTACCTACTTACTGTAAGGGGATCCGTATAAGTGTTTTATTAATTAAGTTTACTCAAATAATAATATTTCCAACCGTTGATTAATGAATGTTGTCAAAGATACAGCTAGATAATTTTAAAATCTACAATTTTGATGTTGTATACCAACTATATTTTTACCTACTTAAATAAGCGGTAAAGTAGGCTATGGAAATGTTTATGGAATTCGGGTATAGGATGATTTTAATGCATGGTACTCGATATCTTCGCCAATTACTATTGATTGGTTTTAATAATCATATTTTTACTAAATCGATTTAAAAATCGGTTATTTTATATAAAATATATTATTTAAAATAAAAACATAAAATACATAAATCACAAAAAGGAAATAATTACACTTAAAGTGATTTTAAAGTCTGTGAAAGTTTTTAAACAACAAAAGCCTTTTAAAAATTGTAAACCGATTTCAAGGCATTTTTAAGTAACAAATAACTCATGGGATGTTTAATTTATGTATAAAGATATATTTATATGTATGGTACCTACATAATCAGATGTTTTTGGAGTCGACCTGTTCATTTTTGTTTGCCAGCCGATGCAATGTAAACAAAAATGAACGATTTGTATCTATGTGTAACTCTATTTATTACCGTCATAATATATTTTAAGGAATGTACAGTAAACTACATTTAACATATGGACAAATGAATGATGAAGAAAAAGGAAAGAAACTTAATGCAGAACTTATATCTATAATTTTAAGACATCGTGCTTTAATAAGGTAACATCATATATACATATATTATGTATGTTGACGGCAATTTATATATAAGAAGAATATAATATGGACTATCACTAATATTTATAATAATATTTTAGATTATCAAGCGATGTGGAGAACATGTATTCGTTTTCTCTTCTCGTAAACTTCTTAAATAGTTCGATTATCATCTGTTTCTGCTTATTCTGCTGCGCAGTGAGTATAAAATTTATAAAAAAATATAAAAAATCTTTTTATTCAAATATATAATGGGTATAAATTGATAAAAAAAAACCTTTGGGTTTCGGCACAGTCGGGTATTCTGAATACGAAATAGCACGCCTCTACGCTACGTGTAAATGCGATGTAATTTATTTACTTCCTAACCAAACCTTTTACAACCACTCCTTTTACGATTGAGCTCAAGTTTTTGAGATTTACAGATTCACTCAAACAATTGGATTTATTAGTACTTTTAAATCAGATACTAAAATATATAATAATAAAAAAAACGAATGCGTAAAAAGCGAACTAAAAACATGAAATTAAGTTGATGAAGAAACATAGGACTATATATTTTTTTTTAGTAGGTAGGTATACCTATTATTGTTTCGGATTTGTTTGCCACAAAAATGCTATAGAAAAAACTCTTTCAGTTTTTCTTGAATTTTCCATTTTTATTAGGTAACTTTAAATTATTTTTTTCTATAAGTCGTATTCGAGTTATTACGAACATATTAAGAAAAAAAATGGCCAAGCCATTCACAACTGACACGTTTACCAACGAAAAGCTTTTTATTTTATAAAAAAATTAACAGAAAGTGTCTAGTTGTGTCGAAGAACATTAATAAATAATTTAAGATTAGAATTAAATGTCACTTAATATAATGGCTGAAGTGATTACGAATAATATAAGTATTATTAGTAGGTATTTATATTATAAAAAATAGAACGCCCTAATATTAAATAAACTGTATGTTTTTCTTCTAGTTTGTCGAAAAATGGAATGGGTTTCTATATAAAATGTTTTTCATAACAGCAATTTTGCAAATATGGATGCTTTGTTGGTACGGGCAGAAATTACTCGATACGGTGGGTATATCAATATTACATTAATTACATTATAAATAATTAAATATATTGGGACATTGACACACAGCACTATCTAGTTCCACAGTAAGCTACGAGGCGTGTGTTATGGAGACCAAATAGTTGATACAATACACATACATAATTTAAATACAAACACATTTAAATATTATAAATATAAACACCCATGACTGGAGTACAAAAAACATTCGTGCTCATCATACAAATGAATGCCCCCAGTGAGACTGGAACCCGCGAACGCTGGCAGAGCAACTAGGGTCACTACAAACTGAGCCAAACGTATCATCAAATTAAATATACAAAACAAATGTACACTTAATTATTATTGTACAAGTCATTTACGTATGCGTGGAATTGTTTTATTAAGCCGCATTCCTCCGCTATAAGACAATGCCGATTCTTTAGGCAAAAACGAAACGAGCCAGCCCTCTTGTCACCAGAAGAGGTGATAAGAAAAGATGTTATATTTTTGATAAATTTTCTCTCATTGATATTAAAAACCTTAAAATTTTAAATGAGCAATTCTTTTATATTTGATTTCGTGTATCTTGGAAACAGCTCCAATGATTTTCATAAAATTTTGTATTTAGATAAAGTATTGCTTTTTAAGTTGGTCTATATAAGTGCCTTTTAAGAAAAAAATCAATTTTTATATATTTTCCGAAAAATACAATACTAAAAACGTTGAACAAAGCTCGGACACCTAGGTACTACATAAAAAAAGGATAACATTTTTATTTTAGAGTACAGGAGTAGCAAACGCTCTGTATAACAGCGGTTGGTATTTGACTTCAAACAAGATGAAGAAATCTATTGTTATTATAATACACAGGTAAGTTCATTATAGTTAGATATATCTTAAAATAAAAGTACTACGTTGGATTTTTACGAGGATTTATTTTGATTTTTGCTTCCCTACGTTTCGAATGCTTTACAGCAATCATGGTCACGGGTGACGAGGAAACTAAGGTCGTAGACGTCTCAAAGATCTTGTCTCCCTGGCTATAATATGATTACAGACAGTATCTACCTACCGGCAAAATTGTACAATTATTTCAAAAAAATAAATAGAAAAATCTTACAATATTAATTTAATTTTATTAATTATAGTTAGAGATGTATATCTTAAATAAATGTTAAGGGGGTGGTCATATTTTTATTATTTATGTAAGTTTTTGTCTTAGTATAGTGCAAAGGCTACTTTAAAAATCCAATCGGTATGTCTGTGACAGTCTTGATATGAGTTCTCGGTCAGTGGCAACACGGTGGATTTGAATTCTCCAGGAAAAAACCTTATATACTACCCCCAGTCGCCGCCCACCTTCTTTGGCTACCTATCTAGAGTAGGAGTTTATAAATTCTTAAAACTATGTTAATATTTTTTATAAGTATATTAAAAGATGTTAATATTTAAAAAAATCAATTTACAGATCACAAAAACACGTATACGTTACAACTTATGGATTTTCGATAATTTCTTTGGAGAGTTATTCCACTGTAATTATTATGTTCTATATTTTTATTAATTATAAAATCTTAGCTGATTCATAACTAAATATTTTTTATCATTTACAGATTCTTAAAACATCATGGTCTTATTTCACCCTCTTAATAAATATGTATAAAGGATAAAGCTACATATTATAGAAAAGTGATAAAATAAGAGATAAGATATTATACGACATAACACTAAATTTTATAATCAAGCACTATATATTATACCTATTCATTAAAAAAAATTGCGATTTTAATTATTTAAACTATAGTATGGAATGCAAATGAAAATTAGATATCGCGTATACCTACTGCATGAAAAAATATTCCTTTTCTAAAGCCGCGTTGTCACGATCAATGTCTACTTTGACAAAGTAGTTTTGATGATATTTGAGCATGTAAACGAGCAATCAAAGCGCACTTTGATGTGGACGTTAATCAAAGTAGACTTGGACCGTGTTCTACTTTTCTCAAAGCCTGCTTTGACAAAGTAGTTTTGATTACTCCTTTGATTGTGTAAACGAGAAATCAAAGCGCACTTTAACGTCGGCGTTCATTCAAAGTGGTTCTTGGAGCCGTGATTATCATAGTAAACTTCGTTTCAAAGCTTTTTGTCAAAGCAGACATTGAGCGTGTCAACAGGTATCCAAGTAAACTATGATTAAAGCTACTTTGTCAAAGCAGACTTTGATCGTGTCAACGCGACTTAAATAAAGAACATCACGCTTAGCGGTAGTTATTATAATAATAATTAATATTATCTTTAGTGGCGTATTTTAAAAATTCGCGCCCGAACCGATAAAATTACAAAGTGGGCAACTTTTGGGCATTATTTCAGTCCCACCAATCTAGAAGTACAGAGACATAATATACTAGACATTACATAAGGAGTAAGGACACATACACATTGCACATGCACATTTACGAAATATATATTTATTATGCTGAAAAATACGAATCATAATTCATAAATGTTGTAATATTTCATATGGCAACTCTAAGCAAAAATGTGATCTGTAGTCTGTAGTCTGTACGTGTAGTTGTCAGTTTATTATTATTGTCAAAATTGTTTGTCTTGAACTGTGAACTGTGAAGTTTTTTATTCGTATTATTCGTATTGTGTAGCGGCAGAATTTACATTTAAACAATATGTCGAATAAAAGAAACAAAGAAATAGAAAAACAAGAAAGCGAAAGTGAAGAAGATCAAGATTCGGGGAGTGAAAAAGACTCGGACTTTGATTCTGATGGAAATTTCGTTGGGGACAAGGTTAGACAAAAACATAACCTAAATAACACATGGCGGATATTAATATAGCCGATTTCAATTATTTACGTTTTTTTTAATTATTACTTTAACTTATTATTTTCAAAATATATACATATTGTATGTAAGTGAATTTTATTTAACATCATGTATTCATGTTTCATAATAATTTGTAAAGAAAGATATATGCAAGCTCGTATTACAGTCAACAACATGACGATGATTGCCTGGTCTCATTAATTACCTATTGTTACCTTACTGAAGAATTTAATTTACGTACAATGTTTCAGGAACTACAAGCAGACTTTGAAGGCAGAAATCCTGAAGATTGTGATTTTCATGGAATTAAACAACTTTTACGACAACTGTTTCTAAAATCAAATGTTGATTTAGGAGGGCTAGCACAAATAATAATTTGTAAGCTAGATTAAAACCAATATTATTATTTAATATTTATGCTTTTAAATATTTATGATAACTTTTTGCTTTTAGCACAAAATTATGTTGGTAGTGTTGTAAAGCAGTGTTTGGATGATGGACAAGATGAAGATGATGATGAAGATGATGGCAGTGATGGGGTGTTTGGTATCACAACTGTATTAAACATTACCAAAAGAAAAGTATGTTGTAATAAAAACTGCATTTTTTTCTATTATTATTTATTGTAAAATGTGCAAATACTAGCTCAAATGATTTTTTTTACAGTAGTAAAGCAGAGTACTGCTTTATTTTTGTATTAACATAATAAAAAAAAACTACATATTTATTTAAAAGTTGAAAATTAATATACTAACATTGCTTGTTTACCAAATTTTCACACATTTATTTATTTCGTAATTTAAGGAAGAAAATTGTATAAAGCAAATCAGAACTTTGCTAACCACACTGGCCAATGATAATGCAGATGATAGAACGAAGGGGCTTGTTAGTAAAATATTGTCAGATGAGGCCAATCATGTAGGGCTAGTTATTAATGAAAGGTAAATCAAAATTCTATAGAACTATATTTATCTATATATTTGTATATTGATAAAAAATTACATGCAACATTTCTAATTTCCTTATACCAAGGCCTTCCCACTTGTCATGTTTCATCAACATTTTTATGGTAGTGTTCACCATGCAGTGGTCAAATTTGACCATAATCATTATTGTAAATTTGAGAAAATCATATGTGATTACAATTTACCTATCTAAATAACAAAACTGATTCCAAATTTTATATTTTTTGTTATTTTATAAAACTAAAACAAGTCAATAGTTACTAAAGGTATTAGAATTAAAAAGGTTGACAAACAGGAGAATAAGCTTACATATATTTACACAATATAATTATTTAAATTGGTGTTATAATGTTAATTTTTTTTAGAATACTCAACATTCCGGCAGCGATCAGTGTACCTCTGTTCTCATCACTACAAAGTGAATTAGACAAAGCTTTAAAGAAAAATATGCCTTACAACTTCCAATACCTAATATGGATCTGCAAAACATACAAAACTGGAGGTAAATATTTTTATTTAATGTAATATATTTTTTAAACCTTTTCATATATTTAGATATGGAAGGCTGTAAATAACTATGTAACAAAAATTTATGTCACATATTATATTTTCTGATGATATTTTTATTCACAGATGATGAATCAGACATACTCTTTGCAAATCAAGAAGAGAAACCATTAGCAGAAGAGTCACTGGCTAGCTTTGATGTTGATGTGACAGAACAGGCAGATTTATCTCAATGGGACTATGATGGTGGTGCTATGACTCCATGTAGAAAGGTTACTTTTATTTATTATAAATATTTGCTAGTGATTCCAAACTTTTTTCTGTAGTAACTAAGTTTCCTTTTTGAAATAAAAAAACATTAGATTTGATTTTGTTAACTAATTGGTTTTTATACTAGCAACTCTCCCTACCTTCGTTAGGTATGTTTTGACGGTTAGTATGGAATAGATAAACTATATTTCATACATATACATAGGTATGATGAGATGTTGTGGGTTGCATTATTACGTGCTTTCCCATGGTATAAAGTAGCCTATGTCACTCTCCAGCCCTCCCAACGTTAGCGTAAACGCGTAAAGCGTTATTTTTTGTGTTTAGATAACACACAAAAAATAACGCCAAATCCATCACTCAGTTTTGATGTGAAATAAGGACAAACAAAAAAACACAATTTCACATTTATAATAGTATGGATTTCTAAACATTCTTCATCATAATATGAACCTATTAATTAAAAAAATAATAGTATATTCCTTTTCTATTTGCAGATACTAATATTTGAAGGCAAAAAATTCAATCATCTAATAAGACTTCTCAAGGAAGAAGTGGAAAGTGTTTAACATATTGCTTTTATTTACACATAACCATCATCTTATGCCATTATTACAACATGTAATTCCTATTTATAACTATAAGAATAATAAAATGTATGAGAGCTAAGCTTTACAATTTTGAATTTTTATTTCGACACCAATCTTTAACATTTATAGATGAACAAAGATGAAAAAAGGTAGCTCATTGTTTATATTATAAAACAATTGTTGTTGTTTATTTGTTGTTTTATTGTATAACAGTTTGAACGATTTATCTCGATTTTTACATAATAAATATTATGTACTGCTAAAAATATTATATATTAAAAAAATATATAACATTATGCTATTTGCAAATGTTAATTAGTGATTGTCAACATTTATTTTTAATTATTTCAAAGGAAATGATATAAAACGAAGCAATTAACGATGTCCTGATCGATTTTGGTTATGGCAGCAAATCTTACTGAAAATAAACATCTGCTATAGTACAATGAGTGCACTATTAATGTTACTTTAAAAGTACTACATGAATTAATTCCTCCATCCCCTTTCCATCATCGGACAACCCGACGAACGGCTGGTCTCCATGTCGAGGACATTACACCCGTCCGCACGAAGCTTTGCGCTACGTCATTTATTATACGTACGGCTAAGGATTGGAAGTTCCAATCCTCAATCTGTTCCAATTTGGAACAGACTGCCTGCGTCGGTGTTTCCGTCCGATTATAATATGGGTGTCTTCAAGGCAAGAGTGAATAGGTGGCTACTGAATTAGTGCGACTTACCATCTACGACTGCGTTACCACTTACCATCAGGTAGAACGTGAAATCGCGGACCGGACCAAACCCAGGACTTGTACCTAACCATACCCATCTACTTGACAAAATAAAGCAAAATATTCTTTATTGTTCATTTCGTTATAAAAAAAAACGTAGGGATGCAATTGTTTTAAATAATAAGTATATAATAAAAAAATTGTTCAACAGTTTGTGGATCAACGCCATCTATCGTCAAACGAGAAAATAAAAATAGCCTGAGGTCCAAATTCTTTGTATTATATTATAGGACCTGCATGAGTGTAATCTGTGCACATACATACACGCTCATAAGCATTAATAAAAAGATAAATAATTCTAATCACTGACAATCATTACAAGTAAAAGCCTATACCTACTATAGAAGCAGTCAAAGCAATAAACTATTAACTGGCAGTTGTGATCTTCGATTACGTACATTATTGAAAAGGCACTTCAAGATTTTCCTGAATTTCTCAATTTTCCAGATAAAATTTTCTATTTCAGCTAAAAACCGTATTCAGACCATTGAGTTTCATCAGTAATTAAAATTAATTCAAATAAATATCAATAGATGGAATTATTGAAGATTGTGTATAATCAACAAAAGATAATAAATTGATCCCCGGCCGTATATTATGGTTTTAAATAGTAATTTAAGTAAAAACAATCGGACGGAAACACCGACGCAGGCAGTCTGTTCCAAATTGGAACAGATTGAGGATTGGAACTTCCAATCCTTAGCAAACGAATAAAGCGCTTGCTAATTAAGTTTGCGTAATTTTACTGATTCTTGAAAAACAACAGATAATGGGTTTTTATTTTGTAGTGTATATTCATAAATGGCGCTTTCATTTTTTATGAGTCGTTTACTTTTTGTTCTTGATTAAAAACTGTTAGTCACAGAACGTTCAAGTAAATGCAGAATGAATTTAGTAATATTTAACATAATATATTTGTTTACACATACTTCAGCAGTTCGCGGACCAACGACATCTATTATCGTATAAAAACAAATAAATATAGCTCAAAAATTAACTAGTATAGTATTATGTCATTTTGTTTTTGACTATAACGAAAAATATGATAAATATCATTATTTTTTGTCAATTATGGCGGATCTAAGAAAAGAAGGCGAAAGTTTTTAAGTTGGACTAGAATATATCATTCCATATCTAATCCCATTATTTTAATTCAATATTAAATTAAACAATAATATAATAAATGATGATAATCTTTATTCGACCAATACATATGACATAATATTCCAATGACCCTTAAAAATACTCAAGTGCTCTTATAAATAGCTAATGCGTCCCTCATCATAAAGTCCCGGAGAGCGCACAGTCCTTTTAGAACCTTTGTAGTTTGATCCATTTTTTGTATGTCTGTTTCAGATAAATTCTTATCTTGCTGCAAGTAGCCATTGACAGCCTCCTCAGTAATCCAATGAGATGGTAATTTGTGTATGTTAAAGTGTGAAGGGTCGGGGTTAGCTGGCATCGGTGTCAGAGATTTCTCCCACGGTGTGATATACTTTTGCTCAGAGTGAAGCCCTTCAATGTACCTGTAAATAATATAATGCAATGAAAACTCGATTTTAATTTTATTCTTTAGGCAGAATTCAAAGTAACTAAAAATCTAATGTTAACAATTAATTAAAAATCAATAGTGTTTTTTTAATCTCTATTTTTATTTAGGGACTTTTATCCTTTTCGGACATGTCAGTCCCATCGTAATAGTGTTTTTTTAGGGTAGTGGTAGCTCAGATGTATCTCTCTTTGTGCCAAATTTCACCTAAATCCGTTCAGCCGTACTGGCGTGAAAGAGTAACAAACATCCATACTCACAAACTTTCACATTTGTATAATATTAATACGGATATTTATTTAAACTGAAGCCCAAGCAAGTCAGTAAACGCACTTGGAGGTGGCGCACTTCGGTGGGCGGTGTGCCATGCGGGTTGCTCCTAGTACTTCTCTGATGGCAGAGTTGATCGAGGAGCAAGCCCATAGTTATTGTGGTCTGCTTCGGCAGACCTACCGTCTGGGCGTCGTAGTTGAATGCGTAAGCGATCCTGCGACGCCCCATTAAGACGGGGGAAGGTTTTGTTAGGTTTTAATGGGTAGTACTGGCTTTTCGAGCCGGTGAGTCCCATATAACCACCTGTACGTCTGTCAACATAAAAAAAAGAAAAAAAAGTTGCCTCTACTGGCAGGTCTGCTCACCGTATGTACGCCTCGGAGTGCGTGACGCGCTGCGCGCGCGGCGGCGCGTGCACGAACAGCGGCTCGAGGCCGGCGCGCGCCGCCAGCGCGCCCGGCGCCGCGCCCTCGCCCGGCGACGGCGTGTTGCGCGCCATCGGGGACATGCCTGCCGGGCGATTCACATACATACATACATACATACAATACATACAGTAACCGGCGGTAAATGTTAATAATGGACATCGAGCTAAAAAGGGAGACAATCGGCTGATTTCAGTTTTGTAGAGCGTCGTCTCAGACACACAGTACATTATGTCAAGTTCGCAGTAGATACCGGACTGTTAGTGCGACAGAGACGACGCTCTACGAAGCCGAAAGTAACCCATTGTCTCCCTCTTTAGCTCGATGTGCATTATTTACCTCCGGTTACTGTACATATTGTTTATTGAAGTTTTGTTTTATTATATGGTGTGTACGTCGTGAACACTAAATCTAAATAAAACACTTGAAATTAATTTAAAAAATCATGCAGTATAATTCAAAAAGATTATAAAATGAATCGTGTCCGATTTTAGATACAAATATATATTAATATATAAAATTTTATAATACCTCCAGGTGACATTAGACCGCTTCGGAAACTAGTCGAGTACACCTTAGGCGGCTTCTTAGACGACGGTACAAAATTCCTGAAACGATATTAATTATAATGAATTATAATAATTATAACTGTTTAACTTAGGGGCCGTTCATAAAATACGTTCGCATACAAGGGGAGGGGAGGGTCTGGCTGAGTGTGACAAGATGTGACAAGGGGGGACGGGGGGTATACGGCAACGTGACGTTCGCCGTTTATTATTTTTTGACATGAGCGCGAGCTCTGTGGCGCGACTCTAGCGGCGTTGCGATCCATCACAACTGTTTCTTTGTTTTTCCAATACTTGAGAGAGTAACGTTTCCACGTACCCTGCGGTCTCGAATCAGTAACAAATGAAAATACTGTTTCTCATGTATTTATTATTATTTTATTCCTTCATTCGCCATTTAGCAGTGAACTAATACAGAGGCTTTATTCATCTTCTCAATTTAATACTCTTCAGTTAATTACTTTATACTCTTTATTGCCGAAATTTGTCACTTCTGATTTTAATAGTTAAGATACATATAAGAAAACAATGACATCGATAAGAGGTGAACTCTATCAAAAATTATTTAACACTTATAAAAAGTGTTATCCGGATAAAAAATCCAAGATCGTACAAGAAAATGTCAATAAGATTTGGAACGATCTCAAGCAAGAGTACAAAAGTGATGACAAGCAATTTGAAGTGAATATTCAAAATAATATTGAATCTTTAAATCAAAAGATAACCCAGAACATCTTTGGACTTCTGAATAATAGAAATATTATTTATTATTTATATGTTCGTTATGAAAGATATTTATTAATTTATTTAAATTTTAGTATAATAACTAAATATTTTTAATTTTCAGAATTTGTGTACTATCATTTAGAATTTATCATACTCAGTAAGGGGGGGTCTTAGTTTTTGTGACGAAATATTTCTAGGGGGGTCACAGAAAGTGTGACACAGCGTGACAATAGGGGGGGGGGGGGGGTAGGGGTTCAAAAAAAGCTGATTTTAGTGTGACATATTTTATGAACGGCCCCTAATAACTTTACTAGCGACTTACCTTTGCTGCGGTCAGTTGCATCTCTAGGTACTTAAATAGCCTTTCTGTCACTACAGGTCATAAGTCTATGTGTACATACTAAATTTCGTTCAAATTCGTTTAGCCGTTTAAGCCTAAAGAAGTAATAAATATACACAAACACTATCAGACTATAATATAACAGTAATAACATATTTTTAATGTCCTACTACTGGGCATGGGCTTCCCTTCAGTGGGATCAGGCCATAGACCACCACGCTCGCTACGGCATTTGGCATATTTCTATAACTTGTTAGGTTTCGCCACACAGTGGTAATCATGACAGGATGAAATTAATTAGCACATAAAGATATCAGAATAAGACCCTGAATTTGAACCCGCATCACTGTTTTCCACCAAAATTCGTTATCACTAGGCAAAAAATGTATAATCAGATAAAAACAATATAAATATGGGACATGAACACACAGCACCATCTAGTTCCATGGTAAGCTACGAGGCTTGTGTTATACCAGATAGTGATACAATACACATACATATTATAGGTATAACATTAAATACATACATATTATAAATATAAACACCCATGACTGTAATATAAACATTCGTGCTCATCATACAAATGAATGCCCCCAGCGGGTCTCGAACCCGCGACCGCTGGCACAGCAAGTAGGGTCACTACAAGCTGAGCCAAACGTGTCGTCAAAACACAAAACATATCCAAATAAAAAATAATACCTGGACCGTTCATGCACCGCCATGATCCTTCCGTTGCCCTTATTGACGTGCAAGTCTCGCACGTGCCGCATTAGCCTCGGCAGGTTAGGGAAGGGCGCTTGCCCCTTGCGCACGCGCGCGCAGCTGCGCCACAGGCAGGGGAACTCGTTGCCCCCCGACCCCCCGGCGCCTCCAGACCCCCCGGCACCGCCTGACCCCCCAGCACCCCCCGAGCCGCGATAGTGCTGCTGCACGTGGCCCGCTGCCACCACGCATGTAATTAAATGGAGAAATTTCTTATACATATCTATATTAAGGTGCTTCACTAATGGCTTTTGTATTTGCTCGTGTATTACTATAGACTCACCCTTGCTAAGCTCAGGTTCTTCCGTAGCCCCTAGGTACGATTTAACGGTTAGTGATTCCCATACGAAATAAACAGTTCTGAACTATTCGATTTTTCAGCTGTTCTTATGCGTTTTTCCATTTTTTTCAATACTTAAAGCACCCCTGACACACCCCCAACAAACAAAAAAATAATCATTCATATCGGTCCAGTCGTTTTTGAGTTTTAGCGAGACTAGCGGACAGCAATTGATTTTTACATATATACACCATCGACTCACCATAGCTTCGCTCAGGTTCGTCTCTAATACGTACGTTTTAACGGTTAGTATGGAATAGACTATCCATACTTATTATATTATAATAAAATATGTAAAAGTGTGTTTGTTTGTTTGTCTTGTCTCACGTCAAATAGTGAGGGATTCGCATGATTTTTTGTTAGATAGTTGAAGGAGAATGACATAGGCTACTTTTTACCGCGGGAGATTATCTCATTCCCACGGGAAAATACGTAGTAATAGAACCCGCAATAGCTCATCATATCTATGTATATATATTAGGGTGGAGGGAAAAAAAAAATCGTTTTTTTTTCTTAGCATGGAGTAGAACTTAGTTAATAGTAAATGTAGAAGGTAGTTTATAAAACAAACAAAATATTTGAAATAAAAAAGAACTACATTTTGAGGTGGCCCACTGATTCTTAAAATAATTAATTTTAATTTTTGAATTGAATGGCAATTTTTTTTCTACTGATCATCTATGAGAACATTCAATATTTGACGAATATAGTCATTTTGTACCCAACGTACACTGTAATATTGCAATTTTCCAATTTAAAAAAAAATTGAAACAACATGTTACTTTTTTTGTGTATTACAGGTTCGTTCCGACTTTCACTGAAATAATGAAGCGAGGATGTTCGCTAATATATTATTTATCTATACATATACAATTTTTTATTTAGGGGCCGTTCATTAAATAAGTTCGCATACAAGGGGAGGCGAGGGGTCTGGCTGAGTGTGACAAGATGTGACAAGGGGGGACGGGGGGTATACGGCAACGTGACGTTCGCCGTTTATTATTTTTTGACATGGGCGTGAGCTCTGTGGCGCGACTCTAGCGGCGTTGCGATCCGTCACAACTGTTTCTTTGTTTTTCCAATACTTGAGAGAGTAACGTTTCCACGTACCCTGCGGTCTCGATTCAGTAACAAATGAAAATACTGTTTCTCATGTATTTATAATTTTTTTATTCCTTCGAAAGTGTGACACAGCGTGACAATAGGGGGGGAGGGGGTCAAAAAAAGCTGATTTTAGTGTGACGTATTTTATGAACGGCCCCTTATTTAACTTAGCCGAATCTGTACATTAAATATTTTTTAGAAAATCTTATTAAAATAAACATTATTATCGATACAGAGGCCGAATCTATAGTTTTTAGAATTTTTGTCTGTCTGTCTGTTACCGCATCACAGAAAAACCACTGGAGGGATTTTGATGAAATTTGTTATGGTGATAGCTGGTTATCGGGTCAACATAATATATGATACGTTTTACCACGGAAAAATGTCTTATTTCTGAGAAAAAAATACAAAAACTGCTATGTAAGAGTATGCTAACATGTAAAACCTAAGAATTTGGTCTTTTTGGTCACCTGAACGCGGTCGAAGCCGCGGGCAATGCTAGTTAATTATAATACATAAACAATAATACACTTCAAGATACTCACGCTCTAGCTTACTCTTCTTGGTCTCAATAAACGTTCCAATCACTAGCAGCGTTAAAATAAACGACATAACATCAAAAACACTGCAGATAAAACTAGTCATATACAAAATATTTTTATCTACTTAGCAATAAATAAGGCAACTCGACTAATTTTACTATGATAAGAATTATTCTTAGTACGAATTTCATAATGAAATGTAACTCAACTATTGCTATTTTCGAAACATTTTTTAGCAGCACCTCTAATAAAAAATATCGCATATCAAAATCAACAGTACTAATAAAGCTCGATTATAAAACAAACTTGTACTGAGGGCCCAAGTGTATTAATTATATTACTTACCCCACATTCCCTTGGGTTCCTAATAATAGCTATGTGTTACTCCAGAATCCAGGCCATAATATATAGTAATGCTCGGAAACCGTTTCAACTTTTAAAGCGGTTCAGGTCATTGACCCAAAAACCGAATGACTTTTCGGTTTAAGTACTCGGTTACGTTGTTTAACCGGTTAAAACATGAAAAACGGTTTTTCACCAATTTAAAAAAAATAACCAGTAAGAATGTGTATTTGTGCGCTTACATTTCGTAAATCTTTGCTAATGGTGAATTGCTTAGTAAAAAATACTAAGGTACTTAGTTATAAATCAATTAACCGGTTTATTTCGGTATCAAAACCTAAGTCTAACCATTCTCTAAGAATAACCGTTAACCATTATTATTTCGGTTAACTAAACCATTCGATTTATTTATCGGTTAATGAATTATATTAGCGAAATTAACCGTTTTTTTAAACCGGTTCCGAGCTCTGGTATATACATAATGTTATACAAATCCGTTCAACCATTTTAGCGTGACGAAGGAACAAACATACACACACAAAAAACTTGCGCTTTAAAATTATTAATCAGACAATATTTACACGAGTACATTTCTCAACTACGCTATACATACTGTTGCCACCATCTCCTATGCAGTGCTCCATACAGTCGGCCAGATCTTCGAACTGGTAGTCGCATGTGTCCCACGCGCACTCGTATGTCATCTCCATTGGAGTCTGCGATAAAGATATTATTTATATTCATTTTATTATTGGGAAATACATTTACTAATACCACTTATTTATTATACACTAGCGACTCACCCTCGCTTCGCTCGAGTTCTCCATACAATTTTGTGAATAAATTTTTGATTCCCCATACAAACTTTCATCCCCATCTTCACCCCCTTGAGGGATGATTTCCGGGATAAAAAGTATCCCGTCCTTCCCAGGATCTCAAACTATCTTCTTACCTTTCATCTAAATCGATTCAGTAGATCAAGAGATTACTTTCTACAACGTCACAAACTTTATCTCTTTATAATATTAGCATAGATTACCACTTGACCTGACGACACGTATGGCTCAGTTTGTAGTGACCCTACTTGCCGTGCCAGCGGTCGCGGGTTCGAGTCCCGCTGGGACTTGGATTCGTGCTTTTAACACAAATGAATTCCCCCGCTGGGGGAATTCATTTGTGCGAAGAGCGCGAATGTTTGTATTCCAGTCACGGGTGTTTATGTTTATAATATGTATGTATTCGCTGTATTCTCTTTGTTCGAATTACTCTACTATTTGCCCACAAGACAGCCGAAGACAGTACTAATAACGTTACCCGTTCGAGATATACATGAGTATGTTTACATATGTGTATACATGTGTGTGTGATGTGAGTATACTCGCGTGACCGTGCGTGCATGTGTGTATGTGTGTGTATACGCACATGCTGCGACAGCTCGCGCATCTCCTCGGCGAGGCGGGCGGAGGTCTCCTCGTTGCAGCGCGCGGCGCGCTCCTCCCAGCTCTGCTTGGTGGAGGCGGGCAGCGACCGCCACTCGTTGCCCACTATGCGGGAGATCTCACCTACACGCACACACACAAACAAATGTAAATACATAATATTATACTACTAGCGGCTCACCCTCGCTTCGTTCGGGTTTGCCTCTATAAAAACAAAAACAAATCGATCTCTCGGGACCCATATATTTTTCCGGGATAAAAAGTAGCCTATTTCAAACTATAATCTATCTCTGTGCCAAATTTCATTTAGATCCGTTCAGCCGTTCTGGCGTGAAAGAGTTACAAACATCCATACTCACAATCTTTCACATTTATAATGTTAGTATAGGTTTGATGTCACACATACAGACAAATAGCATCCTTCGAGGAAGTAAATTAAAAAAAGACTTCTAGTAAAGGTTATTTATTTCTTTATACAAATAGGTTGTCTTCTATACTAATATTATAAAGAGGTAAAGTTTGTGAATTTGTGAGTTTGTGACGTTGTAGGGGGTAATCTCTGGACATACTGAACCGATTTTCAAAATTCTTTTACCAATAGAAAGCCACGTTCTTTCTGAGTGTCATAGGCTATATATTAACCCGAAAAATGAAAAGGCTTTTTCGTGGTAGTCGGATTTGCAAAGTAAGTCGGTGAAAAAACGGTCGAACGAAAACGTTTCTTACGAACGCTGCCTTAACGATGAGAGATATATGATTATGTTCTAGAGAAAAGTTGTAGAGCTTAATAATGCCTACAAAAAAGTCAGCGACAGCATATGTCTAACTTTTATATTTAAGTCACAAAAAGTAGTTTTTTATATTAAAAAAATAATTTAAATCGGTAGGTCATGTTTATTGGTCATATTATCAACAATTATGAATTTTTGTCAAAATAAGTAAACTTATCGTCTAAAATGTTTAAAATAAAAGACTTTTCCCTTTTACTGCATATAATTTGGACAAATGGTTAAAGAGATAATACAACATTTTCGTATGTATGGACGAACCCGAGCGAGCTGTTTATCTGTTTTTCTCTTTGTACGGGCTAATCTCCGGATCTATTGGACCTATTTAAATGAAATTTTGCATGGTGGTACCTTATATCCCCGGGCAACATCTTAGATACTTTCCCGGAAAATTAAAGAATTCTCGTGGGATAGTTAAAAAACTATAAGAACTTATACAGCTTAGTACACAAAAACTACTGATTGGATTTTAATGAAACTTTACAATAATATAGTTCATACATGACAAAAACAAATCAGCTACTTTTCATTCCGGAAAATTAAAGAGTTCCCGTGGGATAGTTAAAAAATTATAGTAACTTATACAGCTCAGTACACAACAACTCATGCACCTAATTTAGTAAAATTTGGCATGCTGATACCTTATATTGCAGGTCAAACAACAGGTTACTTATTTTATTTATTTTATTTTTATCTCGGAAAAATGAACGGTTCCCGTGGGATAGATCTGTTTGTGCTTTTCTAGAGGTGAACCCGAGCGAAGCGAGGGTGAGCCGCTAGTAATTAATAATTTTATAGAACTTTATTTAATCATCCAGAGAGATATAATAAACCTTCGAAATATATAAATAATGCTTTTGCATCAATAACATTCGACATACATAGATTGTAAGAGCCGTGATATTATAATTTTACTTTACATTATAATTCCTCTGGGTACATTCAGAGATATCAAAGACTTTTTGAAAATTCATCTAAATGAAAAGCACCGTTAAATTGTAAAACGGTCACTGGATTGGTCAGCTTTGAACATCTGGTTTACATTTCAACATTAACTATTATAGTAATATAAAGAAATTCTCCTTACCAAAGGTAGACTCGGGATTGTTCGCAACAATGGCCCTCCTCACTTCGCTAGAATACAGAATGTATCCGGTGACAATCTTCTGCTTCTGATCCTTCTTCTTCTTGCCGCTGGCGGGCGTCGACGTCGTCTGGTTGCTGGACCGCTCTTGGTTGGAAGATGAAGTCATTGATGGGTTGTACGGGTTGCTGTTACCACCTGATTATGAGGAATATATTTGGTTAGAAAAGTTATCGATGGGTTGTATAGATTGCTGTTACAACCTGATTTTGAGGTATATAATATGATTTTTGATCAAAAATATCTTCTCTTATATAAGTAATCATTGTAGAATATAAGTCGCCTAAGTGTTTATTTGTTCAAACTACTAATACTTGTACTTTACAGGATATGAGGATGATGAGTTCTCTAAGATTTATTTATATACGATATATTAAAATTTTTGGTTCCGTATTTTTCTAATGCTCTACATAAATCATAGTCACGGGAGGTACTCGTATTTTTATTCGTATTTATATATTAGTATGTTAGAAGGAAAAAAAAATCTATCTACCTATAGACAGAGGCGTGGCCGGTGAGGCGAGTGAAGAGTCATCGAGTGAATTTTCTAGAATCATTTCAACATCTTGACTGCCAATTGTGGTATTAATGAGATTCGTGAACTGAGGTTTGCCATCCTGTAATACAATAAATATAAAAAGTTAAATAAATTACTTTAGTTAAAATCTGAAGAAATAATGCCCAGCTGTTAGGTTGAGAAACAATGAAGGCACAAGTGTTCCTTATAATCTTCCCTTATTTTTTCTTCAATTGCGCTGGACATAGGACTTATATTATAATTGCGAAAGTAGGTATCTGTGCGTGTTTGTTTGTTTCTCCTCCGCACTGAAACTACTGAACGTATTTAGATGAAATTTAGCATACAGATAGACACATAACGACGCACCCTATTTTAGTAAATAGTACTAGCAATGATGACCAAAAACCAAATTCTTAGGTTTTACATATTAGTAAGAGACATTGCAGTCTTTGTATTTTTTCTCAGAAATGAGACATTTTCATATCCTATAATATGTTGACCCTGATAATCAGCTATCACCATACCAAATTTCAGCAAAATCCATCAAGTGGTTTTTCTGTGATGCGGTAACAGACAGACAAATTATTTTATTTTTAATATGTATTCAAGTTTTTAGTTTTTTTTTTAAAAAAAGCGCAAGATTGACAGTCATAGGTGTCCGGGATCGAGTCCCAGTCGGATACAAAGATATAATTTATTTTTGTTTTTTTTTTTTATATTTATTCAAGTTTTTAGTTTTTTTTTTGTAAAGAAAATTGTACTTTTTAACCAAAAACTCCGAGCAAAGCTCGGTGGCCCAGGTACTGTAGATTAAGTAGGAAAATAACGCCGGCCCCTAATTAATAAATTATTTTTAATAAATATTTTAAATCATTTTAATTTTAAATTAAAAAATATGAAAGAAGAATAAATAATTCGAATATAAACAAATATAATAATTAATCTGGTTATAATAAAAATAAAAGAAATAATATAAAAACTATTGTAAATTAAATAATTGATAATTAATCATCATACCAAAGAATCAGCATTGACATTTGGATTGAAAGGCTTCTGTGTAAAGGCGCTAGAAGAAGACTGTACGTCCTGAGGAGACGCGAGCGCGGGCGGGCCCAACGTCTTTGGGAAGTAGTAGATCTAAAAATACAATAATAGGTTTTTGAAGAGAAAACTTCTATAGGCAGGGATTTGGATGGGGGGTAAATTCATGTAAGTCGTCATCGACATGGTCACGTGACGACGTGTTGACGCTAACACTCAGAGTGCCGATAGACGTCAAAACCAGATATGTAAATGTGAACAGTTTTAAATTACAAGTTTTTATTTAATATGAAACTATTAATTTGAATATCCAAAAACAACAACTGTTTGTTTATATGTAGTTTTAAGTTTTACTTATCAGCATCCGCGCATAAAAATCTAAGCCCATGAAATTGTACCCGAGCGAAGTATAAGTATATTAAATAAGTATCTCTAAACAAAATAATGTGTTATTTTGCTAAACAATCATCAACCCATTAAAAATGTTTTCCAATCAACACAAAAATCACATCAATCAAACACAAACCTCGTCCACAGTGACGTCCTTAGTGTGCTCGAACTTGCGCAAGCCGGCCTTCAGTTTCCTGGCGATCCTATTTGATTCATCGTATACCGATTCGCACACGTATACGTCGCTTTCTGCTATTTCTGTTGGCCGACCTGGAAAATAATAAGTTTACTAGGTTTTGCTTCCGGCTTCGTTTACGTTCTATATACGGAATCTATACTGATACATTTAACAAAGAGGTAAAGTTGGTAAATTTTTATGTCGAGGGTAGTCTCAGAAACTCCTGATGAGATTTAGAAAATTCTTTCACTAATAGGAAACTATATTACCACCGCTAAGGACAATTCCTTTCTTATTGTTAGGCACCCGAGCGAATTAATTTTGAAATATTGTATTTAAATTAACGAATTTGTAAAGTACAGTCAACATACTACTGTTAATCTAAATATTAGGATTTATATAATACTAGCGACTCACTCGCTTCGCTCGGGTTCGTCCCTAAGTGCCCCTAATTGCCCATACAAACGTTAATCCCCATTTTCACCTCCTTAAGGGATAATTTCCGGGATAAAAACGATCCTATGTCCTTCTCAGGGTCTTAAACTATCTTCTTAACAAATTTTGTCTAAATCGGTTCGGTAGATCCTGAGATTACTCCCTACAACGTCACAAACTCACAAACTTTATCTCTTTATAATATTAGTGTAGACAAACTAACTTACATTTTAGATAATCATCATAGTCGAGCACGGAGCACTTGCCGACGATGCCCACTAGGGGGCTTGTGTCGTGCATCGTTGTCAGAAGTACCTCTTGTTTGTAAAAGGGCTGTAATATTTACATATATGACATACACGAGTCATACTAAAAAAAATTTAAATTAATTAAAATAAACGTATGTTCGTTTTAAGCTATTAATAAGGAAAAATAATTTAATTACATATTAAAAATAGATACAAACCTTGTTTATTATATTGGCCACTTCAGACGGGAAGATCAGAAAAGGACCCCGGAAATAGCATTTGTTACTGAAAAAAATATATAATATAGTAACACTTGTCTTTAATACATAATCATCATTTTTAAAGGGCATGTTAATTGAATTATTGTTTTCAAAAATTTTACTAAATTCGTCACAGTCAAAACACCGTGTTCATTTCTTGCAATAATAGTAAATGTATGTCTATCAATAAATATTTCTAACTTCATTCGGGTAATGTGCGTAATCCGGGTAATGTGCGTGTGCGGGCAATGTGCGTGTGCGGGTAATATGCGAAGTGCGGGTAAAGTACGCAGTGTAGCTAAGTCACTGGGTCACTAATTGACTAAGTCACTTAGCGTCGTGTCACGTCAATTGTAAGGTGTAAGTGTAAATTGTAAGTGATCCAGTCACTTAGTGACCCAGTGACTTAGTGCCCCAATCAATTAGTGACCTTTTACTAAGGCATTGACAATAGTTTCCGTCATTCGCGCGTCTGACAGCAGTGAAAACAATGAAACAAACACCTAGAAGCCAAGAAATAAAAAAAATGAATTTAAGCATACCGAGCGCGAGCACATTGTAAAATGATATCAATCGCACTTCAATTACAATTTACAATACCGTAGCACATTGACAATTGTTATTGATCGTGTCGGGTACGTTTAATAAAAGACTAGAAGTCCACTCACTCGCCAGTCTCCCATATGGTGTCGACCTGCGCTATGAGCTGCTTGCCGCCGTCCGTCACCACATACACGTAGTCGCCCGTCTTGATGACGCCGGAGCACACCGTGTTGTACTGCTCGTAGTAGGTGTTCTCGTCGTCAGTGCCGAGCGGGTTGTACATTACAACGTCCTGGAAACATTATTACGGTTATTTGACAAATCTTCGTCTCAGTGTTTATTTGCCGAAAGAGTTTTTAATATAGAATTATTGACTTTTAAATGTCAATTCTATTGGTCTTAATAATATATTTTACTTTAGTAAAACCGAAAAAATGTATTTTATCTAAATATGTACATATATATAAATCTTATAACTTTTAAAATTATCTCGTTTTATAATTATACAATAATTACACTACGGGACTAAAACGCGTGAATTCGTAAGTGGCTATATACCTTATTCCCGACGTTTCGACTGAGTTGCACTAGCCGTGGTCACGGGACAGTCTGCACGTCTGCCCGAACGGAGTGAAAAATCGATCTAGATTAGTCTTATGTTTGGGAAATCACGTGTTTTTGAGTTTTCATGCGGTTTTCTTTAGCATTGTACCACGCAAAATATGGTCGTTAATTTCGCACGCTCGTGCATAAACATATTGGTCAAGCGGTCAAGGCGCAAGATTGACCATCACAGGTGTCTGGGTTCGAATCCCGGTCTGATTTAAAGTTTATACTTTTGTTTTTTTGTACTTATTCAAGTTTTTAACTTAAAAAAAATATTTTCGGCCAAAAACTACGAGCGACGCTCGGTCGCCCAAGTACTAAAAGTAAATTGAACGAGGTTTCAAATCGCTCATGAAAGTATTAGTTATAAGTAAAAGTAATAAAAGATAAACAAAAAAATAACAATAACTTACAGGCCTCTCTTTCTCTTGAACATTTTCCAGTACTTCGAGTTCAGCGAGTTCGTCTTTGTGTTTCTCGACGCGTTCGCGGAACACTGACACAGTTCTGTTAGGCTCTAGCGGTACCTAAATTGATGGAAAAGTATACGTGATTAGATTACATTTACATATCTATATTAGAACAAAAAAAAAACGATTTGTTTGTATGTGTGATGATTTGTTAATTTACAAAAAATAAAAATACCTGATTGCGTTAAAAGCCAACTAAAAAGATAGGAACAAGTTGATTACACAGTCGGACATAGAATTACACAGTCGGAGATTTACGTACATGGTTTTATATTTGCTGCGAGTCTTGTATCGTGTCTGGTATGAAATAGCACCTTCAAAATAACCTTAAAATTATCTAACTCTTTGTGATGAATATTTTATTTTGAAATACAATCGAGACAACTCCACTCATTAAAAAAATCGATTCATCAAAAAGTACACCTAAATCGAGGATCTCTTCCGTCGTTGAAAATGGATATAGTATTTTTTCCAAATTCACTTATTAAGAGTAAAAAATTACAGAAAAATGTTCATAAATGGGATTGCGATAGAAAAATAAAACGTTACTAACATCTCTAGGTATAAGTGTAGCTTCTTTCTCAGCGCCTTCCCACACTTTGATCTTCTTGAACAAACGATTCTTAGTGTGATAACGACTTTCACACACATAGACGTCCTTGTCTAAATAGCCTGTAAAAAAATTACATTGTGGAGACGTTTATACCATGTTAAGTACATTAAGACTTTGAGTTTAAAAATTATTATAACTTAATAAAATGCACTTTTACTCTTACCATTTGGAACGAAAAATTAAGCCATTATTTTGCAGAGGTGAGAATTTATGAAGAACTGGCAAATATTAATTTTGCTTTTTCATTTCTTGTATTACAAGTATGCAATATGGATATTATTTCATAGACTAACATTCAATCAATAAACTGATAACAAATTAATTGTATTCAGCCCTTTTAACGTCCCACTGCTGGGGGTGGGCCTCCCTTCAATACGAGGGGGATCAGGCTATAGTCCACCACGCTGGCCAAATGCGGATTGGCGGACTTCACATAATGGCATGTCTTTCGAAAACTTGCTAGGGTTTATCAGACATGCAGGTTTACTAACAATATTTTACTTCACAGTAAGACAAGTGGTAATCATGTCTGAAAATGATTCGCACATGAAAATATCAGAGGTACGAGACTCGGGATTTGAACCTGCTTTACTCGGTTTGCAGCGATCGCGTTACCACTGGGCTACCACTGTTCTAAAATAAGTATAATATAGTTATTTTTACCTTCAGGTCTAAACTTGAAGTATTCCTTAACATTCATCACGTAACACCTTCCAATGACATGTTCTAGTGGCATAGTGCGGTGCGTCTCCGTTTTAAACACCTCTTGTTGCAGGAACTTGCGCGTGCGCACATGGAATGTTTCGTGTGGTCTGTGGACGATTTTGTTTAGTATAAGTATTATTTATAAATATTTATTGTACTCACAAACATAGCTTATACAAAAAAAGAAAATAATTGAGTTTCTTTTTCTTCATCAATATTTTTTCCATCTCTCTTTTACAGCTACCTCTTGGTAAGGCGATTTCTTGACACCTATTATTTTATTTATTTATAAGTTCATTATATACTTAAAATTATAAACTTAGTAAGACAAGCTATTTTAATATTCGTAATTTAGTGTTTTTTCACGTGAAATGATAAATATATTATGTTAATAAATTTAATTTCTATAGCCTGAGTATTAATTTTAATAGCACAACCTTAAACAATAACTAACTAAGAACTAGTCACTAATCATAAACTCCAAATACTAACCTAAAGTAAACATTAGTGTATATCATAGGGACATTATCAGAGTTAGTCCATACACGTTCCACTTGTACTATTGCGGGCTCCTTGTTGCCTTTCTCCGGCTGTACGTACACGAAGTCCCCCTTGCCGTACTGCGTCTGAGGCGGTGCCCCACCCGATGCCATAGATTCATCTGTGCTAGATCTGGAAGCATTTGATGTTTGTTTGAACGCGCTAATCTCAGGAACTACCAATCCGATTTGAAAAATTCTTTTTGCATTACATAGCCTGTTTATTGAAGAAGGACAAAAATTGCCGTCCTATTATCAAAATTTTGCATAAAATGCATAAAGTTTCGATAAATGATTTTTATTATTATTATTTTTTTTTGAAAAATTGCCCTTAGTGTAAATCCAGCGCTGGCTATAGGCTATATATCATCCCGTAAAAAAACCCGTGGGATAGATTTGTTTTCGTCTAGGGCTTAGTATTAACCAATAATGACGCGTACCTGGTCTCATCCTCGTCATCGTTCTCCTGCAGCATCTTGCACTGCTTGATGAGCTCTACGCTGGTGGCGACCGTGTCGCGCGTGTACACGAGCGCGGGCGACGACAGCGCGCCGCGGCACAGAGCGTCGCGCTGTCGTATAAAGTACGTTTGCAGCTCCACCGAGTCCTCGAATATCTGGCTGTCCGTGCGGGAGAGGCGGCGTGCTCTGAAATTATCGAGACACTGTTTTATATGCGACAATTTCTATGTGTGTGTGCATGTGTACATGTGCGTGTGTACGTTTGCGCGTCTACACTAAACACACTTAGTACCCTAGATACTTTTAGTGGTAATTTATACCGGCCGGCATTAAATCGACTCTAGTTTAAGTCATAAGTATCGAATACTATTTTATAGCTCGTGTGACATAAACCTGCTATAATCCAAACATCTAACTTTGGTAGATTGGTAACGTCTTCATATTCGTTGAATGAAGTTAAATTAAACAATAAAATGATTATACAGTAAATCAAAATAACAAATGGTAAAATTTTGTGTATACCGTTCAAATACAGCGAACATATCCTGCTGGAAGTGATCTAATCGCTTGTACAGACCCTTATCCAGTCTGCGCTTCACTAAATCAAGAGATATCGCACGCACTTTTTCCCCGTTGGCAGCTTCGTCATGTTCTGGCAATTCGGCCATACTATCTGAGTAGCATCTACGAAAATAAATAATTTTGCTAAAATAATTTTTAATATTTCAATGAATAATTGCATTTCATCATATATTTTTTACAAGAAGGAAAACAAAAACAAAAACCATACATTTTTCGGGGAAAAAAGTAGCCTATGTGTTATTCCAGACTACAATCTATCTCTGCGAAATTTCATCCAGATCCGTTCAACCGTTCTGGCATGAAAGAGTAACAAACATCCATACACACAAACTTTCACATTCATAATAATAGTAAGTATAGATTGTATTTTTTTCTTTAAATTCTCTTATAGATTTACTCATGAACAACTTATTACTAACAGTGTAAACAAATTTTACTAAATTCAAATATCATGTTTCTTAATACACTGCATAAATATTTATCAACACAATCTCACATAACATATTAAAAGCCAAGATTATATTAAAAAAAAGAAAAAAGAATCCATACCGTCCTTCCTCATCTTGATGATTATAGACAGTAGTAAACAAATTGAGTAATAAATCCTGCACCGCTGCTGGTACATCAGGTACTGCATCATCATCTTCCCTGTGATCAAAAAAAAAATATTCTATAATAAGAATCGAAAAAAAAACAAAAAAAATATATTCATATCTTAAAATATTGTAGGCTGGCATAATAAGAATCGATTAAATGTTATTTAAAAATCATTTTAAAAATTAAGGCTATCAAGTAATTTCACCATTAGCAAACATTCGCCTAATATAAACGCACCGAAAACTCATTTTAACTGATTAATCGATTTAGATATTTTTCTGGGTTTCATTTAACCGGTTAAAGAACTTAACCAAAACCTTAAGGCGAAAAGCCTTTCGGTTTAGGATCAATAACCAAAACCGACAATGAGGGTGAATCTGAATGGGTACATTAAATCTTATATTTAATACTAGCCTTTTATCCGTCACCGCGAAGTGCCTTCTTGTCGAATGTTAAACACATGAACTATTTATAATAGTAACATGGATAACATGACTTGTCAAGACGATGTTTACATTGGATAATAATTTTTGGACTATAAAAGTTTTTGATAAATTTGGACTTTGAAGGATAGTTTACAATATGATCACTTTTTAAAACATATTTGAAATGTCGGTAAAAATAAAATATATAACACCATATCCATATTATATAATTATTATTGCAAAAATCACATTTACCCACCTTAAAAGCTGTTTCGTTTGCAAGCAAACTCTCTGTAGTATCAACGCGTCTTTATATATCTGCGAATCTGGTTCATTGTACTTGCAAGCGTTGTCGAACATTAGTATGAAATCCGAGGCAAGTTCATTAACTGTTGTGTATATTCCATTTTTAAGTTTATGTGCTATCTTTTCCATGTCTATTGGGTTTTTGATTAATTCATAATAATCCGGATATTCCATTTTGCTTGGTAGCTTCATGAAGATCAGAGCTAGTTGACGGTTCACTAAAAATGTAATTGATTATTAATATTCGATGTAGACTATCGAATATAAAATAAACAAACAAAGTAGTTGTTATTTGTGTATACATATGTCTTTTAATATTTTTTTTATTATAGGCCCTTATGAATCGTCAATATAATTTAAAGAGCGTCAGTGTAGTCAGTCCGTGAGAAAGCTACCACCGGCTTGGAAAGCAGTTCTGCTGAGAAGAGCCCAGGAGAAACTCACCAGTTGCTCTTTTAGATATCGAAGTTATATTTTATTTACTTTACACATGACATAACTAGATAGCCCGCATGTGAGTCAATATTTCTCAATTCCATATATTTCCATCAATAAGAAACTTTTGAACAGAGTAATATGCTTTACTCAATAAAATATTTTTAATTTTATCTTTAAATTGTTGAAAAGGTAATTACGATTAATCAGACAGGCCAAGCAACTTTTAAAAAGAATTTTCAAAGTCGTAAGGATTTTTTTTTATAAAATAATATTGTTCATTACAAACCTTTAGGATCCCTATAATCTCTGATGGCATCATACAACGTGCGTAGCTTCTGTTCGAACGGTGTCAGTTGTTTCGATTTAGATGATTTTATGGTTTTAACTGGCGTTTTTCTTTCATAATTACTATTAACTTCTTTCAACTTTTCATTCATAACACGTTCTAGAAGATTCGCATCTTCGTAAATCATTGAGCCTTCTTCGTTGAATTGACGACAGTTTGAGAACATCAGACGGAAGTCAGAGACCATTTCCTCCATACTACTGTAGCGGTCATTCTATAATACAATTTAAATAAATTATAAAACTAGTTTATTGGATTTTTTTGCAGATTTATTTTGATTTTGGTTCCCGACGTTTCGTATGCTTTACAGCAATTATGGTCACGGGAGAGACTAAGGTTTGAGACGTCTCAAAGGTAGTATAGATAATTGTTATAGACAGTACCTACCCACAAAATTACAAAATTATTTTAAAAACACACAAAAATATATAATAGTTTATATGACACGTATTTTTTAAAAAAATTAGTTTTATAACACAAAAAAATATCATAAATGAGAATGATTTTCTACGTTTTTTGGAAATTCTAACAACTCAGAATAATAAGTACACATAAGACAAACAAAATTAAATACCTTAATATTAGCTTCAATGGTCAACATATCAATGGGTCGGTCTATCACATTGTAGTACTCTGGATATAATTTCTTGCTCGGTTTCTCCATGAAGAGCAACATCGGCTGTCTGCCGTCTGAGCATGTGAATTCCACTAGCTGTTTCGATATGTAGTGTAATTTCTTTTTCAGTGGCAAGTTAGATTTCGGTATAATTGGCGACGGGGATGGTGATGGTGCTGATGACGGGTTTGGATTTAGACGTGGTCGACCTGAAAATTTTAATTTACTTTAAATAAATATAAACAGAATATAAAGAACATCTTGTGTTTAGCTCTTTTTAACGTCCCACTGCTGGGCACGGGCCTCCATTCGATACAAGGGAGATCAGGTATAGCCTACCACGTCATATATTCTATTTGAATATAAAGAATATGGTTTCCGCCAGTAGCGTAACTAGCCTCTTTGGGCTCAATGCAAACAAAAATGTAAGTGTCCACCTTTGCTTATTTTAAAAACGAATGACAGTTTTCAAATTTCTCACTTTTTTAAACCGGTCTCACGGAAGAACAGGTAGATTAAAATTTTGCTAAAAAAGCTGAGCTTAGAGGACCATCCATTGTTTTATAGAACATAAAAAATAATATATGGAAATAGGGGGCGCCATGCAACCAAATTGGTTGAATTGACATAGCTACGCCACTGATTTCCGCTACCATCACAACAGAATTTAAAATTGCTATTGATTGATGGAAGTTTACCCTTCCACCATCTACCCCTAAAGAAACTGTATACACTCTTATGTCTGATGATCTTAATTACGCTCATATTCATTCCAAGAACCTATTAAACTAAATACATATAGCAGTAGTATAATGGCTTTAAAAACGAAAAAAATAGTTTCTTCAACAATAAGATGTTTACAATCTTATTTTAATTTCATATATTTGTCATTGTTTTTCATATATGTATTTAAGTTAATATATAAATAGTTACTATATAGATTCTTGGAATGAAATACGTATAGCAGTAGTATAATAGCTTTAAAAAATTTAAAAAATAAGGTTATTTTAACAAAAAGATGCTTACAAGCTTATTTTAGTTGCATATATTTATCATTGTTTTTCATATATAAATTACAAGTATAAATAGTTACTATATAAAATCATATTACCTCTGGGCCGCGGGGTATTCGCTTGTGCTTGATTTTTGACAGACGACAAACTTTCATCATCACTCGAAGAACTTTGAACGATATCCAACAGTTCTTGGACGCGTTGTTGCATCAATCTATACATATAATAATAGCATTAAATATTTTTTTTAAATGTTTCAAAAAAAACCTACAGAAAAGTCCGAATAACATGTGTCTTTCTACTAACTACTGTACACTCGCAATTACTATTTTCAAAACGTAGCTAAGGACGCACCCGAGCGAAGCGAGGGTAGGTCACTAGTCTTAATATAAATTAATAAATTACGTGCTAGCTAGAAAATCAAAAACAAATCTATCCCTTGGAACCGCATATTTTTCCAGGATAAAACATATGTATTATACCAGACTATAATCTATCTCTGTGCCAAATTTCATCCAGATCCTTTCTGGCGTGAAAGAGTAACGCTCATCCATACATACTCACAAACTTACACATATTTAAAAAGATTATACAGATTATACTGATAAGAATAGTAATACTAAAAAAAAGTTTCCATAATATTGTGTAAAACAATAAAAGATTTTCTATTGAATTGATGTATTTCTTTAAGGAGTTATACATCACCACTGTAATATCCATTACCTTTGCAATTTCACAGCATCCCTGTACAATCTGGAAGTTGGTTGGTTATATTGTTTCGCGTTCTCGAACATAATGTTCATGTCTCCGGCCACTTCAGACAGCGTGCCATAATTACCTCGTCTTATTTTGTTCTTTATTTGATTTAAGGACACGGGATTTTTTATTGCTTTGTAATAATCTGGATATTCGCGTCGCGATGGAAGCTTCCAGAACGGATCGGCTAGCGGTGAGCCTGTGGGGAAATTGTCTCTGTTAAATATGTTAGTGACAATTTATATTTGTTACGTGAAATTCCGATAAGAATTAATGCATTAGCAACTAAAAGTATAAAAAACTATATTTATAAACTTTTTATTACTTTTATAGAATTTTCTCTTCCTGAGATTACCTTCTACTTTCAAACAACAGATTTTTACTATAAAAATTGCATATATATGGAAGTTTACATGGTACTTAACGAAGAAAATAATTAAAAAAAATTGTATGTCTGTCTGTTTGTTCCAGCTATTGTTCTAAACGGCTGGAACGATTTTGACAGGACTTTCACTGGCAGATAGCTGATGTTATAAGGAGTAACTTAGTATACTTTTATTTTGGAAAAAGAATAGGATTCCGCGCAAAAAAATTAAAACCCTTTAAATTGTGAACAAAATCCGTGTACCCAGCGCACCCCAGGGAAGCGAGGGTAAGTCGATAGTCTCTTTATAACATTAATGTGTTACAAGACGTATTTGTTAAATAAAAAAAAACTCAAAGGATAGTGTGTTATTTACCACTTGGTCCCAAATGATTTTTAACGGCATCTAGAAGTTTCCATTGAGGTGAGTCTTCATCACCTTTATCTTCATCACTATCTCCACTATCTTCAGAATGCTGTAGACAAATTATATTTTTATAAATGTACATATAGTTACAAAGCGAAATCTGTACATAAAATATTTGTTGACAAAAAAAAATGGCTGTTACATATTGTGTACAAAATATAGATCCCTAAACAATGGTTGTTGAAAATTTTATCTATTTGTCTGTATATTCGTTTGCTTTTAACACAAAAAATACTTACTTATCCGATTTTAACAACATTTTGTGTAGTGATGACTCGGGTCAACATTTAGCATAATTTTTACCACCTTTAACTGACTACACACATATGTACACACCAACCAACGCCAAATAGAGAAGCACATATATAATGAATCCATTCAACGACAGGCTACTTCAATTTTATAGAAATATTGTAATTTATAATTTAACTTAATAAAAAAAGATAATGAAATAATATTACTTCCGCTGAATTTCTTTCACCAGTTCTTCTCAGATCTGAGGCTTCTCCCTTCAGAACTGGTAGACTCATGACGTTCAGTAAAAAATTGTAATAATTTAATGCTGAATTTATTTTGAAACAAAAACAAATCTATCCCACGGGAACCGTACATTTTTCCGGGATAAAAAGTAGCCTATTTATTATTCTGATGTATGAACTATATTATTTTAAAGTTTCATTAAAATCTAATCAGTAGTTTTTGTGTACTAAGCTGTATAAGTTACAATCGTTTTTTAACTATCCCACGGGAACTCTTTAATTTTCCGGGATGAAAAGTATCTAAAATGTTGACCGGGGATATAAGGTACCAGCATGCAAAATTTCATTTAAATCGGTCCTACAGTTTCGGAGATTAGCCCGTACAAACAGACAAACAGAGAAACAAAAAAATTGAAAAAAAAACTGGATAAATTGTTCTATTTCTCTCCTTACGTCCCCCATTTTTTTTCTATGTACAGAAATTCGACCTCTACAGTTTTATTATATTGTATTGATTTGAATTTGAACATAATAACAAAGTGGGGGCACCTTAACATCCGGCTCTGTGTCAGAGCCGGGCGGCTCCATGATGGCGAGCGCGCGGCTGCTGGGCGCGGGGCCCACGCGCGACGTGCGCTTGCTGCGGATGCGCTCCGACGTCTTGGCCGGCCCCGACCGCCCGTGCTGCTCTATCTCCTGCTTGCGTACTTGTATCACCTGGTCACGGTAATGTTACATACAGTATTCCATCTTCATACAAGCGATCGGAAATCGAGTTATACCTACGCGCCCCGCGTTCGGTATACATTCGGTAGACAACCGTGCCAGATCGTATAATTGGATACAAAAATAAATATTTTATTCCTCCCGTAACTTCGCTAATGTCAAACAAAAAAGTATCAAGACATCGTATGTTTAAAAAAAAATTTATAACTTATATTCAAAATAAAAATTAAAGTATTTTTAATTAAACTTTTTGTCCGAATGCGGATTTTTTATACTATTTAATTTATCAATAAAGCTATTCGTACGTCTCAGTCGGGGCGAAAATATTTTTCAATTAGTAGATTTAATTTAAAAATCTCAAAATAAGGGTCACACACCACCCTTATAATTTTTTAATTAAATGTACTAATAATATGTTTTAAATAAAAAATTTAATATTTGCAATTACAAAACTAGAAACTCAATTTGTAGATGAAATTAAAATACTATAGGCGGGCAGCCCTGTCGCGTGGTTACGTACCGCGCGGCTGTAGACAATTATTTCAAGGACAGGGCCGAGTTACAATACTGTATGTATAACATTACCGTGACTTGGCGGTGGAAGGAAATATTATCTATCTATAATATAAAAGGCAAAAGTGATTGACTGATATATCAACGCACAGCCAACCTAACCCAAATCCTTAGGCTAGAAAATTGAAATTTCACACACGTATTTATCATATGACGAAGGCATCCTACTAAGGAAGGATCTTTCAAAATTCAATCCCTTGGGGATTGAATTTTGAAATATCCTTGAACATATTTATGAAATTTCGTATGAATTGAGTACGGGAAAAATAATGAGTTGCGTATTTCAGCGTTTTCTAAAATTCAACCCCTAAGAGGGCAAAATAAGGGCGAGCGAAGCCACGGGTTTTGCTAGTTATTATAAAAAATATATTAATAAAAAGCAGTCATGAGGGCTGCCGACAGAAGTAAAAACTTAAAACTATAAACAAACAGTTGTTATTTTTGGATATTCAAATTAGTTTCTTGATCTTAAATTAAAAAGATAGATATCAACATATCCTAATTTTATTGTAATAAGAGTTTTTACTTACCTTCTTCAATGTTTTTGCATCCTTGTATATTTGACTGCCCGGCTCATTGAATAGACAAGCATTTCTAACCATAAGCAATAGATCCCTCTCCAAATCATTCAAATTCGTGTATTCACCACCTTGTATCTTTTGTGCAATTATCTTTAGATCTATTGGAGAATCAATTACATTAAAATATTCTGGATAACGTCGTTTAGATGGAAGAAATTGGAAGGCTGGGTAGATTGGTCTACCATCAGAATTTGCTGTCATAACCTAAAATAAACAATATAGAATGTCAACGTAGTAAAGAAAGTTATTTACTTACAACAATAAAATTAGTGTCTTAAAAGATACAGCCTAGGTGTTGTATAATTTTATTGAAATTTATTTATAAATCTTAAATTGTTGGATAAAAAAGAATCTTTAAGTGTGTAAAAAAATAATATTAAAAATTTAAAACTTACAGCATTAAATAATTCCTCAAAAATATTATCATCTTCATTATTAGTGGATGTCTCGGACATATCCTCTGCAACATCTGACCTTCTACTTGAAGAACCATTCCGAGACAATTTTGGTGTCTTGACTTCATCACCTGAGTTTAAATTTTGTTTTAGAACTTGAGGTTTAACTTAAACATATTATAAGCTAAACATAAATGAACTTTAATTAATCCAAAGATGAAAAAAAAAATTCTACATAGAGTACATTTATTGTTGGTTTTAATTGATAAAATATATCGATTTGTTAAAGTTGTGTTAAATTAACAACAGATTAAAAAATAGACCCCAGAAAGGTGTATTATTGTTTAAAAAAAATATTCTAAGTGAAGGGAAACGAAATAATGCGCTCGTAAATCAAATTTGCGTAATTTTACTGATTATTGAAATATCAGCAATCAGTTGACGGGTTTGTAGTGTATATTCACAGATGGCACTTTTACTTTTTATGAATTGTTTATCACAGTTAAAAGTGGTTAAAATCACCATTTGTTATTCAAATGCAGGATGAATTTGACAATATTTAACATATGTTAGTTTGCACATGTTTATAAAATAAAACAGTTTAACTATTTGCGAATCAACAATATCTAATATCAATTCAAGCAAACAAAAAAAGCCCGAAGAATAGCCCTGAATTAGCACTGTCCAATTTCTTTGTATGGGATGAGGTATCTATACTAGAATAGTATTAACTGATCTGTGGTACCAATGAATGCACTGTGAAGAGAATTTAGATCCTGTTCAAAATTAAAAAGAAACATAATTGCAAGGTAAGGGTGGATTCCTTAGATGGAAAGTGTACAGTAAAAGCTCCTTATTCGCGGTTTCATTATTCGCGGAAGAAAAATTTGAGACCCACTTCCTGTATTCGCGGCTGAATATTTCGTTTTTCGCGGATACGTAACTTACGATTATGTATAAGTACAATTTAAAAAGATACCGTTCACTGTTAAATATTAAATGTTTTCAACAAAACAACACCATTGCATAAAAGTTGGACTAAGTAACAAAACACGAGTTTCATCGAAATCAAGGAATTTGTTAAAACTTGATGAATGTGCTATGAAAATTCTTTTATTTAGAGTAAATAATCGTATAAGATCGTAAAACTTGACTTTATTCTTCTTCAATCTTTTGTTTCTATGAAAACAGATGTGCTTCCAAACTTTTTGAAGGTAGTGTATGTCAATCACTTCAGTTAAAAAAAATGACCCGTCTTTGGATAAAAGCCTTTGTTTTTAAAAGGAAAGATTGATGAAGCCTCAGCTGTATATGAAGCGGAATAAAAAAAAACCCTTTTTAAAGCCAAGCCAAGATTTATTGCCACCCAACACCTGCTTTTATAAGATCTACAAAATTTCAATTGTGTTTCAAGCAGAAATAGTGCAGCCCAAGTTATAGGTATCAAGTAGTTTGATGCTAAAAGGTATCCTGTAAATTTTGCAATCAACATGTCATGTCAGTTTTGCTATCAATAATATGTCACAAGCTTACCATTTTCAAGAGCCATTCTATGCTTAGAATAAAGCTTCCAAAGCTCAATTGCATCTCTATATTCTTCTGAATCATGTTTGTAAAAAGCTTTGGCATTATTTACCAGTAACTCAATATCTGCTGAAAGCTCCTCAATATCTTCATAGGTGTCTGTTTTTAATTTTTGTTGTACCTATAACATTTTTATATTTATATAAAAAAAATAAGTATAAGATGCAACTACAGGTATTACCTATAGTTGCATCTTATACTTATTTTAAATATATATTAATATACCATATTAATTTGACAAGAATTTTAATATTCTATTATGTAGGGAACATTTCCAGAATAAATCAATATCAAAATATTTATAATATAATATATACATATAAATCTATACAACTCTGTTATTTAATGTACTTACTCTTAACAAATCAATTGGTTGAGAGACAACTTCATAATACTGTGGCTCTTGACGCCTCTTTGGAGCCCTTATGAATGAATCACATAGCAAACTGCCATCTTCTTTCTTATAAGTCCGAATTATATCATATAGTTGCTGACATATTTCACTCTAAAAAATACTTAAAAGATGATTGTAAATTCTTTAAGGACTGTGGCTTAATTTTGAACTCCACTATAGTCTATAAAAAACTTCTATGATAAGCTAAATGCTAATATTTATATCACTAGGGCGTTCTGTTTATTTACATTAAGATAGAAAGTTTAAATAGTAGTTTATACTCACAGGTTCCAACTTTTTCTTTTTTCGTGCTGGAGGCGGACCAGGGTTACTTAGTTCTACTCCATCATCACTATCATCGCCGTCAGCACCTCGGCTTGCAACCGAAGATGCGCGGCGTCTTTTACTCATGATTTATTCACAAAGTATTACATATAATACTCTCTGTTAAATGTATATCGTCTAGTACATTCCTAGAAACACAAAATCAATAAAAGATGAATATTATGTTTTATAAATCTAATTTCAATAGAAATAGGACAAGAATAAATATTGTACCTACAATAAAATTATGATTTATTTTGAAGGGAAGCTAACAGTGCTGCCAGTTTCTTTGCACATAGAGCTGCAGATAATAAATATTACTTATGTCAGATTAAACTATCCATACAAAGGATTAAATATATGAACACGTAAACCTATTATCAATAATAATAATTAAGTCTTTAATAGAAATTAGAATTGTCGTGGGATGCCTGGCAGATGATTTTTATGACTGCATAAAAAGTAGAGTAAAAAGATGTTAACAAGTTGATGAAGTAACATAATATTATGTAGTTTTTAATATTATAATGAATAAATTTATTTATTTATCTATTTATTGGAGTAGCAATACTTTAAGCAGCTCTGCTAGTTGACGGGTAAATTACCCGAAAAGCGGGTAATTTTAGGCGATTTTTGATGGCGGGTAATTTTGACGGGTATTTTAGTAGAAAGTAAGTATTTTAGTTTAGCTAATTAATTTGATATTATAGATTTTTTTATTTATTAATTTAAAGCTGTTTAATTGAGAACTGATAACAATTACTTCTTTTTCTATCATTAATACTTTCTTTAATTCTATATAAAACACGAATAAATTACTTTAAAAAACTATTTTTGAGTATTCTGCTCATGGTTTGCGCCGCGCCGGCGAGATAAACCGGGTATTTTGAGGTTTATTGGTCGGGTAAATCAACGACTGTTATCTGGCAGCCCTGACTTTAAGTAATGTCAAATTTAGAGTTCATTTGACAATTGACATTACCTACATTTTCTTCTGTTTTAAATTTAAACGGTTTACGGTAAATTGACAAGAAATAAAATATAAAAAGAATATAAAGAAGTTTAATATAAAATAAACCCGGCTGAAGAGTCAAGGCATCTACTTAACTATTGAATTGCAACATTAAACATTAAGTAGATATTATGTTATTTTAACCAATATTCTACTACCGTCAACTGTTCGTATTTTCGTAAAAATACTTTTATAATTCATTAGTAGTCTAGGTGTATATTTTCGAACATGGAGAAATATTATAAAAATTTTATACTTTGCGGTGAAGCTGATTATTATTGTCTTATATGTCAAGAGGCATTTAGTATTAACGAGGAGGTAGATAAGCATTTACGATGGGAAAATCATAGAAAGAATATCAAACATCATGAATATGTTCCAAAATTTAGAAAAAATTTTATCTACAAGGTAAGGAACTGGAGTGGTAAGTAATCTATAGAAGGTTTCGGCTGATACTGACCACTCTCCCCTGTTAGTATTTTCTCATATCAAAAAGTGTAAATAATTTAAATATGTTACAAGTTATTACATTTTATAATTACAGATTTCTGATTGCTTCTACTGTGAAATATGTAATGTAGTTATGAAATCTGCTGTTGAGCATATTAATGAGGATCACCATCAAGCTCTTAAATCATCTAATGATATATCAAATAAGCCATCAGTTATTAGGCGCGCAAGTAATGGTGCTATAAAAATAAATGAGATAAAACTAACTAAGCATCAGTGGCATTCAATCATAGATGGTTTGTGTTTATTATGTGATGAACCTGTTATAAATGCTTTTACTCATTTTTCTCTATTCAACCATATGGTTAAATTAATACAAAGTGAAACAATATGTAAGGACAATCAGTATTATAGAAAGGTACTATAAAAACAAGTTTATAATTTTAATTATATTCAAAATGTATATGAATTTAATTTAATAACAAAATACTATTTTCAGTTAGGAAAAGATAAGTATTTCTGTTTCACATGTTTTAAAACAAATAATTCATTAGAAACACACACTGCTGCCCATATAAAGGAAATAACTCCAGATGACAAAAGTTCTAACAAAACTGAATCAAATACAAGATCACAAGATAATAATAACAATGAAGGTTCTGATATTATGAAAATACTCATGGACACAAATATTGATTATTTTGTTTTTGATGTAAAAAATGATACAGCTACATGTCGAGAATGTGAAGAAATAGTAAAAGCAGACTCCAACTCTATATCTAAACACAAAGCTTTACATAATTCATGTGTTTATATTTATAAAGATAGTGGAAAGAGAAGAGCTGAGTTAAAAATATATGGAAAACAAAATTTCATAAGGTTAAATGAGGGTGGCAGTAAAGGTTGTTGTTCTCTATGTAATATTCATTTATCTGCTCATATGAAGGTTTTTAAACAGCATGTTGAAGGTGCAATTCATAGAGGGCACTTAGAATTAAAAGGATTAATATCAGATAAACAACATGACAAACCAAAGCATAAAACTATACTCATTAAAGATTTCTTGGAAAGCAAGTTTGGTCCATTTCATGTTGACGAGTATACCTTGATTGTTATTAATGATGGTATTTGTATGGAACAAATTAGTTTTACATTTATCAGAATGGTTGATTATTTCAACAGTCTTAAAGGGAAGTGTTTTGTTTGTGATGTCATAATGGATATTACTAAAATACCAGAGCATACTAAAAGTAAGCAACACATTAATTTATTCTCAGCCAGTAGGGTCTTTCGGATTAAAACTAAAGGAGATGAGGAATTCGTTAGACAGGTATAAACTTTTGTTTGTAACTTTAAATAAGGATAAAAAATATAAATTATTGTCAATTGCTGCTATTAACATTTCAGATAAGACCTGGACTGTATCATTGTGGGTATTGTAACAAAGTATTTCCATATTGGGAGAACATACAAAGACATTTAAAAAGTTTTACTCATGAAGTGCAAAGAAATAAAAAGAAGTTATTGAGCATTATCTGTGCTAAAGTATACTTGAATCCGTTGCTTCCTTTGGATGCAATAGAGGAATATATTACTTTGAGGAAATTAGATGGGATTGATTAAGTAATGCATTTTTTCAAGTGTTGTTTTTTTAACTGTTTTTAATATTTAGAAGGTTTTTTTTGTTTTTGTTCAAGTTACAAGATGATTGAAGTTAAGAAATAAATTGGTTTTTTTTATATACTTACTTTTTTATTCAAATTTTGCCCTATTTTAAAATGAATTGTACTAACATAGTTTTGCTTACAACTCTGGTTAGTAACATTATGTATGTACATATATTTTATTTAAATTTTACAATAAATACTGTAGATAACAAATTATGTAAAATTTCTAACATACTAAAAGTTAAAATTAAAACAATATTATATTGTAACAGATTGTCTGTAAATATAATACTACATTTTTCAATTAATTAAAATAAAAACTATACCAATGAGGAAAATGTGAAAGCAACATGATTAAATCAGTCTCAGACTCGTCATTTAAAATTTTCAAATATTTCCGAGTGTTCTGAACATAGTTTTGTCTTAAAGTGAGCGGTAATTCATCTAAATTGATATCTAATAAAGTTACTATATGATTTAAATGTGTTGGGTACAATATAGATATTGTTACTTTACAAGCTAATTTGACATTTGTAACAAATGAACAAATTAACTTTTGAACTGATAATTGTAGATTGGTTTTTATGAAAATACAATTTAATATACCTATACACATTTGAAAACATCCAGCTGAGACTGAACAATATTTAATTAAAGTGCTGTAGTTACTGTTAGAAAGAATTAAATCATCAACATTAAAACTGTTATCTTCAAGTACATTATATAAAATTTCAAGTAACCATCTTTCAATTTCTGATTTGATCTTTATTGAGGTATCATCAAATCTGCTATTTTTGTCACAATTAGCTTCATCTATTTTATTTCTATTCCATATGTCTTTAAGTACTTTTAAATATTTTCTGTCATGTTGATTCCAGTGAATTATATCTCCTATTAATGTGCTTTTGAAATCAATTTTTTCATCTAAATTTAGTAATGCTTGTGCTACTTCAGGATTTACATTAGATTTAAAGGATGTGTTAAGATTTGTTTCTTTCCATTTTCTAATTAAAAAAGCATCGAGCTGTTTATTAACATCTAAAGCTTGAGTATAGTTTATATTTCCTATTTGTTGTTCATAAAAGTTTGTTAAGATTTCAGTTACATCTTCATTAACTTTCACATGTCCTTCTGGTTCGATTTTACATACTTTTCGGATATTTTCCAACACTGTGTGTCTTAAATTATTGTTTTCGTTAATATTATCCTTAGATATATTTAGAAGTTTCACGAAGCTCTTTGATAGTGATTTTGTTACATTTTTATCAAGAAGTGGGTTGGAATAAGTGAATTCACAGAAATTTCCATCATTGCATAATATAATTTTTTCTATTAATTGGTTGTTCATTATTATTTATTACTCGTAAACAATGATGTGATATCTATATTTCAGCACTTGATTGTAAATTATATATAAACTAATTTTACATCAAATTAATTTATGTTCAATCGTACTATTTAAAAAACATTCGAAAGAAGTAATATAAATGGTACCATCGTTTTACGTAAATAAACATAAATAGTAAATTTTAAGTTGTAAAACTTAAACTATTATACTACACAAATGACATTAAAATGATTGATGACAGTGATAGTTACACTTACCGTTCAATAACATAAAAAAATTTATAAAGTAACAGGAAAAGAAATAATATCCATTGTTCGTTTTATATATACATAGTAATAATATAATAACAATTCAAAAACTCACTATTATGTATTAAATTCAATAGATGATATTATAAAAAGTACATAAGTTTGATAGTTTAGTGTGATTAAATAATGCCATCTATTGACGAGTAGATGTAACTATATAATAATTATCATCATTGTAAGATGTCGCTTTTATACTAATTCGTTTTATAAGTAATATTTTTATCAAGTACACATAAGAATTATATTTTAAATATGAAATATAAAATTATATCCAATATTTTTACTATCTACTTTAGAATTGAATAATAAGATTATAATATAAAACATTACTTCTTAATTTTTTGTTGATATAAATAGGTACTTTTAGTTTGGAAAAAGTTATTATAACTAGAACATAGATATTAATATCAAATAATTACGAATTTCTACTACATTAAAACATTCTAACAAATGATTATTCCGTGTTCGCCCTAGTAATTTTATCACGTTAGGATTTAAACGGCCATTAAATTAGAAAATTACAAGGCATGCACTTTGACACTAATGTCCATTAGCTTTCTCAAACATTAGAAATCACGAAGACGCCATAAACATTTAGTAAACGTAACGCTACAATTTCACAAGACTAATATTATGATCGAGAGTTTCTAAATCGTGCACCAATGAAACAAAACATGGTAACATACATTTTATTAGAACATTGATAACATAATTAGTTTGAATTTGCAGCGTTACATAGCATTACTAATAATTCATACGGTTATTTTTTGAGTGGTGTTTCGAAACTTGTATTTGTGGGGCCCATTAATAAATTACTTTCGGGACCTCACATAGAGAGGTCTAAATACGTAGGCATCGCCGTGTGGAGCCCCGCCCGCGAGAGAGACGGGGCTATCTCCTGTACCGGTATGTTTGTAACATTGTATATGAACTGCAGTGTAAATGTTTGTTTGCTTGAGAGGTTTTTGTTGTAATTCTGTGTAAATAAGTTATGAGTTTGCCCAAAGAAGCCTTTTATTCGTTTTATGATTCTGTAAAATTAGGAATACCTACAGGCTACATTCAAGTTATATGCTACATACTGCCTACTATTAATATATTTAATTAAGAAGGTATGTACAATATCTGTATATGTATAGACATATTAAAATATTTTCAATTGTATAAATTACACTTGTCTTAATTTAGTACTTAGTTGTAACAATTATTTTTTTTTGTAATAAAAGGACGTTTTGATTTTTCTTCGAAACGTCCAATATTACCAATTTAATTTTTCGACTAAAATTTACTACATAATATTTATGCAGGTACCTAGCTACGCAACACAATATTTAAATGCTGCAATTTTTCCTTCAAACTTTGATCTTAGAGATTGAACCTTCAATCAGGATTCATGAATCAAGATGTGCAAATTATTAAACTATCCTAGAATGTCAACAGGCCGCAGAAGTGACAACAGGTAAATAATACATGTACCTTGTAACTTGTAATTTGTTCAAATTTCACAGTAGGCATCCTACGAGGATTCGTTTCAGTATTTTTTAATTTAATTAGATATAAGTGTGACGAGCGACTTTTGCAATTTCATGGGTAGCCTAAATTAGTCTTTATTACATTAGCTAGACAATGAAAGTCCTGTTAAAATCGGTCCAGCCGTTTCGAAGATAAGATTTCGAGACAAACTGATAGCCAAAAATTTTAAAAATAGTTTTTGATGTGATCATCTATTACCGCGCCTTGGCAGTAAAACCGACTCATACCTATGCCGTGACGGTAAACGGCATGACGCTGTCATGCCATCATGCCCCTTCTACGCCGCCGCTCTCGACTCCCTTATGTGCGCGCGCGAGTATATCTATTATACAGGCTCCATTGTAAAACAGTCACCAGTAAAAATTCTTACAGCAGACTCTGCAAACGGGGAGTCTGCCCGCGACCACGGCTGGTGCAACCCAGTCGGGAACAAGGTACCTATATAGCCACTTACGAAGTCACGCGTTAAGTCCCGTAGTGTAATTATTACTTAATTATGAAACGCGATAATTTAAAAAGTAATTAACACACTACTTTTTCCGAGATAAATTATTTAACAAGATAAAGAGATTGAAAAATTTACAAGGCAAAAAAAGTCCAATATTGCCTATTTATTAAAAGGTAATCTATAAATATTTACATTATAATATAATTTTGTCCATTGACCTTTCACATTGGGTCATCTCGGAACAGTTCGCACGTTTTGCAAGTCATTGAGGACATGTAATGGCAGTTTTGTGAAGACGTAGGGTATCAATCATTCCGACATCTATCAATAAGTTTTATGTTCGTGCTCAACACTATACGCCTTATGAGGAAATAGAGAATTTTCAAGAATTATTTCAGTTGTTGAAATGATATTTTTATCCATTAGGTATTCAACATACATACATACATCGATCACCTACCAACTTACCTATAGGTACCTACTGCTAAAAATAAGTCGTTGAAATAGCTTAAGATAACAAGCGTCTTGAGTCTTGATCTCCAAGAGGTATTTAAATGTTTGAGTTTCATAATCATTTTTAGGGCTTTGTAATTATCTATAGAATAGGTATTTACCCGAAGTCTAGGAAGTTACCGTTTTACAATACTGGCCATTTGAAACGTAATTTATGAATGGCCGGCAATAAATTCTAAATTCAACTGAATCTTATTTTAAAGTACCCATGTAGTTCTATTTATTTATCAATATGGAATACGATTTTTATCGCGTAGCAATGCCGTACAAACGGCTCGCAACATTAATGACGTGTACAGAGTGAACACTACAAACGAACGCGCGACTCGTTATAAGTTTGAACGCTTCTGACATGGAAATTTTGATGTAAAAATGAACCGCGTGGTCACCCGGAAACTAAAATCAACAACGACGAATTAAAAGCGACAGTGGAAGTTGACGATACTCAATCTACGGCTGAGTTAGCAGCTTAGCAGCTTTCAACGCTAGCATCAAAACAATATTGGTCCATTTTCGTCAAATTAGCAAATTAAAAAAACTCGACGCGCGACGAACTCGTTGAAGCAGTAGCGGATTTAGGCTTAGGCCCGTAAGGCCCGGACCTATGGCGGCAAATTTCAGGGGCGCTAAAATTTTTAAGACGACTAAAATTAAAAATCGATTGGGACTAAATTTTAAAGTTTATTTTCTTGTATTCAGCCCTTCTTAACGTCCCACTGCTGAGCACGGGCCTCCCTTCAATATGAGGGGGATCAGGCCTATTTTCTTGCGCCCTTATAATCTAAAATGTCATAGGTAAAGAACTAATATTATAACATATTAGATAAGTAATTATGATTTCGAGCACAAAAGTAGTTGGGTATTAAACCACATTGCAGTGTTTTTTTTAAATGAGCTAAGTGTCTACTAAGCAAGGCAGTGGTCGTCTTGTGGCAAAGCGCTCGCTTGGGAAACCGATTGGAGCGTGTTCAAATCTCGGGTTTCGCACCTCTGATATTTTCGTGTGCGAATCATTTCCAACATGATTATGATTGTGATTGATAATGATTGATGATTAATATTATTATGTCTTAACGGTGAAGGAAAACATCGTGAGGAATCTGCATGTCTGAGAGAACCTAGCAAGTTTTCAAAAGACATGTGAAGTTCGCCAATCCGCACTTGGCCAGAGTGGTGAACTATGGTCTGGTCCCCCTCGTACTGAAGGGAGGCCCGTGCCCAGCAGTGGGACGTTAAAAAAGGCTGAATACATACATATACTAAGCTAAATGTTGCAGGATTCAGGAGATAATTCGTAGTGATACTACTAGTATATATTACTGCGATTTGTGGAGTTTGGCTGAATGTGACGTATTCGTAAACCCAAAAAAATCGGTGGTAGGACTCTGTCAAGCCTGAGGAATCCGACTGGATGGGTACCACACCACTATCTATTTCTCCCGCCAAGCAACAATGATTACATTGTTGTGTTCCGGTTTAAAGGATAAGGTAGCCAGCGCAATTATAGGCAAGAGGCATATCATCTTAGTCCTCACAGTGAAAACGCACCTACAGTTCTGTATTTTTGTAAGATAAAACCTAAGTGCATGAACCGTAGGTGTTATGGGCGACAGGTACCGCTTCCCGTAAGGTGGGTTGTCTGCTCCTTTGTCACTGAATACCATAAAAAAATGGCAAGTGGAAGAGTGCACCGATTGTGTACCAAAAATATCCATTATGAAAATTTTTTATTACACCCTTATATAAGCTAAGGTGTTATATATACAATTATGTATGTAAGACGATCCTCCTTTTTTACGACAGACTTCAAAAGAAATGAGGTATTTACTAAGTTCAGTTGTACTTCAGTTGTATTTTTTGTGTACAATACTCGATATTTTCGCGAATTGGGAATCGGTAGAAAATAAATTCGAAAATACATACTTTTTAAATATATATTTTTTTTCATTTCCTTATAATATATACCTTTATAGAAGAAATCCTTAGCTTTTGAAGCTTAAGTTCTAAATACTTACTTCTTAAAAGACATGCCTACATGATCTCACCTCGTCCATCGCCTCTACGGATGTCAGGAAAGTTGGCTGGGTTGTTGTTTTTCGCTCAAAGAAACGGAATTGATTTTCAACGGAGGAATGCAGCCAGCCTTTTCTAGCATTCTAGCCACAATTCCACGCGGATCTGACTTGTACAGTGATAAAAAAAATAAAAAGTAGGTACATTTGTTTTGCATATATAATTAAGTATATTTGGAATTTCATTGTAGGAACTTATTTTTTCTTGTTAATAAACCAATTTTAAATAAATCACTTTCAGATGGTAGAATTTTGTTAGTAAAAAGTATTTTGCCTACTGTATGGATAATTAGGTTTGACATGCTCTAATGACGTTACGAAATCAAGAAAATCGTTAAAGTTTCTAAAATGACAAAGGAACAGACATAATACTCATTTTAACTTATACTTAGTAACTCAATTATACTTTAACTTAATACATATAAAGTGATACAATATTGTTTGTGATACCATTTGCCATTTTTGCACTGGGCAAATGGTTTGTATTGACCATAATATAGATCCCTGATCTATAGTTACAAAAACCACGCAGGATAAAAAACAACTCTTCCGTGGTTAAAATAAAGCGCGAGAGAACCACTTCTAAGTACGAAATGTACATCTAGTAGGTATATATTTTAGCACATATTTTTTCCTTTTATTTTAATTTTATAAAGTAAGTTGCTTATAATCATCGACCAAAAAACCATAAGGCAATTACTGTCCACTGCTGAACATAAGGCTCTCCTAAAAATTGCCGGCCATCTCGGTCATGAACATCCCAAAATCTTTCTATGGGATGTATGGCGGGGCCATGGCACATCCTCTTTAATAAAGGAGGAGGTTTTACCGACTGACTTCGGAATATTCACATACAATCTGGATTTACAAATGGTAGTTTTTATTTATCCATCAGTGAAAAATCCCAGAAACTGCGGTCACCAACCAAACCTAAAAGTAAAATGACTCAATAAGTAAAATTGCTTATACAGATATAAATACTAATCAATTTTATAGCCGTTTAACTCCCTTTAGTCTTTAGTTTACTATTGAAGATTATTGGTTATAAAAATAAAATATGTTAAAAATAACCTTGTTATTTCTTTTAAATAAGTTTTTGCCCGTTTACAAAAAAAAGTTTTAACGAAACATTATTACAAATCAAAACTGAAAATTTACTACATACATAATCGATTTATGTTTCATCGAGTGATTAATCGTCCATCGCACGCATCGATATCGGAGAAGATCGAATTAATGCAATTTTAATTCCATCTCATCGATTACAAGTACAGTTAGCGAGAAAGGTTTCGTTGTTAAGACCATGTAATAAAATAAAAAAGAATAATATTTAAATCATTATGATTTGGTAAATTATTCAATACTAGCATTGCCCGCGGCTCCGCCCGCGTTCAGAATACCAAAAACTAAATTCTTAAATTTTACATATTAGTATACACTTACAAAGCAGTTTTTGTATTTTTCTCGGAAATGAGATATTTTCCCGCGGTAAAAAGTACTATATATGTTGATCCGGATAATCAGCTATCACTATACCAAATTGCATGAAAATCCCTCCAGTGGTTTTAACGTGATGCGGTAACAGACAGACAGACAGATATAAATTCTAAAAACTATAGATTCGGCCTCTATATCGATAATAATGTCTATTTCAATAAGATTTTCCAAAAAATATTTAATGTACAGATTCGACTAATCCGACTAATTTTAGTCAAAAGATAAAGGTAAGTTTCAGCCAACATAAATAGGAATTGGCTAATTATTATTATAGCAGGGTTCGGCAAATTTTGGCTCTTATCAATTAGGTACAACCTTCAAATTTCTCTAACATATTAAAATCTAAATTAGAAAGATATTTTTAATTTGAAAATTTTGTGAACCAATACGAATGTGTGTAGTAGGTACTTACATATAATCTACTCGAGTATGTATTGAGTAGGTACCTATGTACCTAGTAAATGTGATAAAATTGTAAAAGTCCTATAAAAGTGATATTTTATATTTTAATGAATTTGAATGTAGTTGATTAAATATCAAATTATAATAAGAAGTCTAGAACAAGTCTTTATTTTTTATATACATACATATTTATCAGAATATTTTTCCATAGGTACGTCTGAATAGATTTGAAAAGAACTTTTTATTTTACAAAGTACCTAGTAGTCTGAATTTTATTCAATTGGTCAAGCAAACCCAAGCGTATAACTTAGTATTTTTTAAGATAATAGAAATGAACACACGCGCAAAGCCTGAGGAAGCAATTTTGAAATAAAATATAAACTTCTCCTTCTAATTAATTAAACCGATGTTTTTAATATTACTGACTTTGACTTAAAAATTAGCCGAGTTTATTTGTAGAGGCTTAAAGATTTGCCGAATTCCTTTGCAGTAGTTTCAACTGGAAAATACTCTCTGGAGATATTTAGCATACGAATTGTAATGTTAAATATAGGTATAACTATTAACACATATTTCGTATATGTTTACTTACAATTGAAAATTAGAAAATGTAAACCAATATAAAAGTATACCTAGGTAATTTACTTTTGTTGTAAGCTGTATGCGTGAGCGTGTGTGTACAATAATGATGCCTATTTGTCTTTACATTATGGTTATAATGCCATAAAGAGATTTATGTGTCATCGTTAAATTTATTATAAATAGACTTGAGGTAAACCCGTAAAAATTGATCCAAATATTGCGTCCTTGTTTGGTTTTGCTTAAGAATAATGAGTTAGATAGAGACAGTATGCGTCCTGGGTGGCCGCAGCGCTGTCAGGCAGATCTAGATGTATAGATTTTAGCAGCGTCTTATGATTAGTATTACTATCCACGGCTAATTTTATTTAAATTTTAATAATTAACAAAATATTTTTTTTAATTAATTAATCCCAAATTAGATAAGTAGGTATCTGCGGTAAAAATTACAGGCTAATCAGGCGTATTATTATCATAAAAAACTAAAATAGAGTAACTGCACGCGATTAGGTACTCACTTTCGTTCCAGTATAATTGCCTTGGTAAGAAAAAAAAAATCCTATACCTAAATATATTCCTCCTGTAAATACTTATAAATATTAATAATATCGACAAACATGAAACTATTTAAGGTACTTGCAACATTTCTGTACTGAGGGTACTAGGTACATAGCTATTTGCACCGGATTGCATGGTAATTCGCTGTCTACAACCGATAGGCGTTAATTACGAAATTTATTTTTTAGCATTATCGTTGAAAAGTTTCATCCTAATTGGGACATAAAATTAAGATAATATTAATAATTATTATTAATTATGTAAAACAAAATACTCAGTACCTATATAAAATACTAGCGAGTCACCATCGTTTCGCTTAGGTTCGTCCCAAGCTTGCTTCCCAATATCAACTTTCATCCCCATTTTCACCCTCTTAAAGGATGATTTCCAGGATAAAAAGTATCCTATGTCCTTCCCAGGGTCTCAAACTATCTTCTTACCAAATTTTGTCTAAATCTGTTCAGTACATCCAGAGATTACCTCCTACAACGTCACAAACTCACAAACCTTACCTCTTTATAATATTAGTATAGATAAATAAATAAAACTAGGTAAACATTTAAATACATGACACCTATATTTTGTATTTATTTACCTTTATTCGCAGACGGTTAATAATGGTGCCACCAAAGAAGAACTATTTGTTCCGTGCAAAGGAGGCTGAAATTAACTTGTCAGAGCGTAAGTTAAAAAAGCGAGTTTCACCGAAGTACGTGTGTTAATAATTCCATCTCGGTAATCGGCAAGTTTAAGACAAAATGTTTAATAATCGGAATACTCCCTGTTCGACCTATATTTTTTTAAGGTATTGAAAGAATTATTAAGCTACTATTTAATTTGTAAGCGTATATTATTTTAATTTTTATATTGGACATATATAGTCTTGATTATTAATTATATTATTAAAATAATAGAAATTTATAATTACCTAATAGAATTTTTAGAATTTTAGTCTGTCTATAATACGAGTACCTACCTATTAGAAGTGCACGCCGGCTAAAATATTCTAAGTTACTTTTTTGCTGTATCTGTCTAAGGAATCCATCCATTCAGATAGGTAATTGAAATAAAAAACATGTACCTAACAGCTATTTACATTTTTCAACCGACTTCAAAAAGGAGGAGGTTCTCAATTCGACTGTGTTTTTTTTTATGTTTGTTACCTCAGAACTCCGTCATTTATTAACCGATTTGGACAAATTTTATTTTGTTTGAAAGGGTATACTTCCAGATTAGTCCCATTTAAATTTCAAAAAAAAAATACCACCCCTAAGGGTGGAAAAACAACTAATGATGAATTTAACCTACTTCTAATTGTCATATTGACTTGAAACTTTGCAAGTATTTCTATTTCCGTTGATAGTACAGTGGTTCGGTGTTGTTGACCTGATCTGATGGCAAGGCCAGAAGGTGGATAGGTGCAACTCTTCAACGACTAATAGTAGATACTTTGAGTTTGGGCTTATTTTGTTTGATTTGACAAGCCTAACACTTTAGAATCCTTACTTTGCTACTACTGTCTACACTAAAAAGGGAAAAATAAAAACTTTTTAACAAAAAAATAAAAACCGACTTCAAACAAAAGCACTAAAAAGTAAAAAATAACTGATTGGTAGTTTTCATTTACTATACATATCTAATCAAATATTTTCGAAGTCGGTGTACTTTGGCTAAGTAATTAAAGCCTACCTATTAAATACATACCTAATCAAATATTTTCGAAATCGGTGCCAGACCATACAAAGCAAAGCACACCGACTTCGAAAATATTTGATTAGGTAAGTATAGTAAATGAAAACTACCAATCAGTTATTTTTTACTTTTTAGTGCTTTTGTTTAAAGTCGGTTTTTATTTTTTTGTTAAAAAGTTTTTATTCTATTTATTAATTTATTAAAAAGGGGTCTATACACAAAATGAAAATTGCTTATTAACTAATGGGTTCGTCTCTAGGTACGATTTAATTTTTTTGAACGGGACCCTAATTGTTATTCTAAAATAAAAGTAGTCTAAGTCCTTGTAACATCAGCTATCTGCCAGTGAAAGTCCCATAAAAATCAGTCTAGCCGTTTCAGAGATTAATCAGAACAAACAGACATACAGACAGACAGATAGAGAAAAAGTTAAAACATTATGTTTTTCTTATAAGTACCGTTCCTAAATAATTTTATACGCGTTTAGTAAAAAACTGTTGTTTTGTAATTACCTACAAACAGACACTTCGATTTTATTTATCCGTACCTATAGATTAACAAAATAAATTCAATTAAACTTTAAGGTAGAGTTATTAAATATAACATTAAAGATAAACTCTGTGGATAATTCTCCCATTTTATCTCCGTGTGGGGAAAACACTTTGCTATTTTAGACAATGCCATCGAGTTAAAGATTTACTGCACTATAACGTTCATCAAGGTATAAAATTATTCCAAAATTGTTATAAGTCTGATGGGAAACACACCATTAACTGTTTACTACCGACGCAGTGTGAGGTATCGCAGTATTCTTAGTAAATCGATGGGATTGCGAAGATTTTTAAAGAAAACATGAAAAAAACGCGTAGAGTGTAATACGCCATTTTTACGATGGCTCAACACGCGATTATTAAATGAGTTGATTGTTTACTAAGCAAATAATTATATAGTTGGAAGCGAGATGTATAAAGAATTGGAAAATAAGTAACTTGTATCTAATTGAAATATGTACCTATAGCGTGTACGATGCATAGGTAATATTATTGTTTATATATAGGTACATGTAATAAAATTCTGAGTCAAATCTAATATTTTTTGGAAAATCTTATTGAAATGATCATTATTATCGATACAGAGGCCAAATCTTTAGTTTTTAGATTTTTTGTCTGTCACGAGAATACCACTGGACAGATTTTGATGAAATTTGGTATAATGATAGCTGGTTATACGGGTCAACCAACATAGGTATATCAAAAGGAAAATATCTCATCTCTGAGAAATCTATAATAAGCGTTAAAACGTATCAAGGGGCGAACCCGAGCGGAGCGAGGGTGAGTCGATAGTTTATAAATAAATCTTTGGACAGTAGTGTGATTGGAATCATATACAAAGGCATCAGAAAGGCAAACGAAATCTTTTTTAACGTGTAAGGTGACATAAGGAACTACCACTAATAAAAATAACTGAACAAGGTCGTACTACATTCGTATATATTTTACAAATTGTGTGACAAAAGGAAAAGAAAAATATAAATATATCTTTTTAAAAAGTTGAATAATTATTTATAAAAACTAGGTTTTTTGGTTTTTAGGGAGCGGCTATGTTTTATCAGGATTCTCTGAAGACTAATTAGATAAAGTAATATTTAAATACAAAAACAAGAATTTGAGATTTTTATAACGAAAAAATTACGTATTAAACCAAAACACAAATGTTTTAAATAATATTTAAAGTGTACCTTTACAGGTTTTTATTATAAGTAGGTACCTATGTGTTGAAATATTACTTTTTACTTTTTGTATAAACGAGTAAATTTTAATCTTAAGAAAGGTTACAAATAAGCTTGTACTCGTCGCCATCATTTTAAATCAATCCAGCAAATACAGCATGACCTAATTCCTCTCCCCGTGCGGTCTCATTTAGGGACATAATAAAACCTCTTTTTGACATATCCGTGGCAAAATGCCTAACCGATATGACCCTTTACTCCGCTAAGGTGTTAAGAAAAGTGCTTAGATTTTTCCTAAAATATACTTTAATAGAGTATGTTTAGGGTAAATTTTTGTATAGTTTGTAGAGCTCATTTATTAGAGCACAAAGGCGCCGATCGCCGCGGCGATCCCTTTGATCCGACCGCCTGTAATTACGTAAGTGTGTTCAGAATGCATTGCCTCTTAGTGGATTTCTAGAGTTTAAGTTTGAAACGTACTTAAAGATATTGTAGGTATGGAAATTAGATTTAAGTTGTTTCAGGAAAATATATTTGTTCATTTCCTGTGTTCCGGTAGTAGAGTTAATAAATAATATCAGAAGTGAAATAATAATTAGATATTTTGTTATAATCCAATTTATCCAATCCAAGTCTAATAAATCTTTGTGTGTTATTTTATCTTAAATTTCATTTTTATTCGGCATCTACGTACCTTATGTAACAGAAATAAAACTTAATGATAATATTTGTTGTAATACTATAGATAATGTTTAATTCAAAATAATAACAAACAAAAAATAAAAATACTTTAAAAATAATCACGTTTAAACACAATTAACATATAAAACTATAAAAGTAACTTGAATTATCTAAAACTTTACATATACAGCGTATACTTCAAATGTACATTATGAATAGGTATATTACCTAAAGTCTAAACCAATAGATAAGTAAAAACATGTGAACTCTATACGTCTGTACCTATTATGCTAAAAACTGCATAAAAAGTATTCTTGCTTAAATTAGCTAAAATAATAATACTTACATTTAAGTTTTAAAGTTACCTATTCTTGTATAAAACGAATAAATATGATAGAGGTTTTTAAAGTTAAACAAAAATGTAATAACAAGGAAAAAATATATACACCAATATTAAAGTAATTAAAATCCAATGTTAAAAATATACACACTAAAGATATTGAACTTAATGTAACTTAACAATAGAGACAGTTAATAGGGAAATATTTTTCTCACGACTCGAAATCTTATTACGATCGTTTAATTACTTCATTAACTTATTAAAAGATTCAATAAGATGGTCTTATTGGATACCTGACTATGTCACTTTCACTGTATTTGTCTGTGCACGTTTCCGTTTGCAATTAAAGCATTGTCATTAGTGTGACGAATTAACTATAGGGCGGCGGGCGGCGCGGGGGGCGTGGCCTAAACTTCAAAGAAACCGCCGCAACAACACATCGGTGCTTGTTATTGATGTGCGAGCAAGATGCAGCATACGTGCTTACATGTGAGGAAAAGAGATTGATACATGTGTGCGTGTAGTAGTGACGTACGAACGGGTTGATTCAAGATCGCCAGAATGGCGGATAGTGGTTGTGATTTGCGTTGTCGATAAAGTGAATAGGGTTTGCTGTTGGGCCAACGTAGAGATTACATTTGTAAGTTTATAGTATCTAATTGTAGAGTAATAATATTTTTTTTTATATTTAATACTTATCCGATTTTATAAATATAGACTGGCAATAGTTTCACAAAACTAGAAATAAACTATCATAGAATTTATTCCGTTATTAATAATTCATCTATTAATTATGACTCTATATTGTGTATGGCTTTTTTGAGTTTTGCTATTTATTTTAAAACATTATTAACAATTTTGAATATACAATAATGTTTTAAAATAAATAGCAAAACCCAATATATATATATATATATATATATATATATATATATATATATATATATATATATATATTTGTCAAATTTAGAAATATTAGATAGATAAGTAATGTGCTCAATTAATTGCTCATATTTTATATATAAAGAGACCTCAGTGTGAATATCTCTTTTTTAACCGGTTCATATCTTATCTACACCGTGTCTTCACCATTCTACACGACATTGTCGAAGTAATCTGTGCCCAACTGGCACGTCTAAAAGCCAAACAAAAAAGACTTGATTTGAAGAAAATATGTTGTAATAAATTTTAAATCGACAGTCGATATCGATAAAACTAATTACATGCGCATGCGCAGCTCTAGCGATAAATCTATGCAGCTAAAGAAGCTTACGTCATTGACGTATTGTTTATAATTCAGACGCCGGGTTGAGCTCCCAAGTACTCTAGCAGTTTAAAAATCTACAAATACTAATTAAAAAGCACATTGATGTGTATTTCTAAAAACCTTTTCTTGTATTAAAAGAAATCGACTAGAACTGGAACGAAATAGCTTTAATGCATTATATCAGCTATAACTTCTTATGGTTTTAATACACCTTTTATTGAATTTTTATAGGTACTTAATTTGTGAGAACAGTAGCTGAGTAAAATTTATATTTTTCTAAACTTTATCGATCAAAATATGAAAATATTTATATGTACAAAAGACACGTTTATTACAGTATTTCTTAACAGCCCATCTAGCTGAGTAAAAATCATACTTTGTTAGAGTGCAAATGAGAAACCCTTTTGAATAAAGTAATATATATAAAGATATCAATAACTGAATGCAATAAAAATAAAAATATTTTAATATAAGTCTAAACATACAGGTAAGTATGTAAATATATACAGTAAACATGTGTATACATAAAAATATATATAAATTGCCAATAAAAATAATTCACGTCTATGATATTTTAAAGAAAGAGACCTGAAAGATTTAATGAACCGCATGAGGGAGATCCCTTGATCGACTAAGACAAATTATGCAATTGTCTAACTCCATTAAATAAATCGATTAACTGTGTACGACATAAAATTAGATTAATAAGAGGGAATAGAGGGCGATAGAGTTTCAAGGAGCGCTACTGTTTCTCGTAAAAGGAAGACAACTAAGAAGATAAATGCAAGAATTACCGTCAAATTAAATAGAATAAATACACATGTAAAAAGTAGTCTGCTTGTCTAAGACGATCATTAACGAAGATCATATATAAAACCTACGCATTTAGTACCTAGTCCTTTTCAACGTATTAGGTTTCATAATTCTATTTGAGTAGAGCAAACTAAGTACTTACTAATAAAATAAACAAATAGATATGTATGTAAATTGGATAATAATAATAATATAATATTAGGAGCCTACTCTATGTCTAAGCAAGAATTTAAAAATTGAAAAAATATAATATTTACATAGTTTCGAATTGCGGTTTTAGTTTTAAGAATAGTTTTGGTTTTTTATTGTCTATCTACTTAAAATATTTCACTACAGCCTTATTGCTAAAAAATATATAATAACTATAATAGATAATACTGCGTAGGTACGTATCTGTTCTATGTTTAATAAAGACATTAAACTGGCTTTCATTTATAATTTCTAATGCCTAAAAATGTACGTTTAAAATCACAAAATTCGAGCGACGTCCTTAATTCGATAATTTCGGGGTTGCAGCCATTAAATCGAATTATCTATGACACGTTCACTCAGAAGAGAAAAGCTAACTACTCATTAAGCATAATATGACCAAAATAAATAGAGCTGTGACGTCTCGAACAAAATTATATCTTATTATTGAACACAAAGTGCTGAAGGAGATGAAACAGGCCTGCATAAAATGGTAGCGCGTTAATAGAAAGATTGCTGACTCATCCAGGTAGACATCTCAGATTTTATATGAAGTATTTCAAATGAGTATTCCCACGATCGCCAATCTGATAACATGCTTTTCAAAGATAAGAAGTTCTCATAATTCTAAAATATACCTTTAAGTTAGACATAATGCACAACATTACTTTGCAGAATTCGGGAATGATTAATTACGACATACAATTACGAAATTAATGTTCATTTTTGTACTTTAAGGCGTGACAAGAGCAGTCATCATACAAGCCACACCTAACATTATATATACATATAATAAAATTGTAACAAAGTCGAATTTGTACATTAAATATTTTTTGGAAAATCTAATTGAAATAGACATTATTATCGATACAGAGTCCGAATCTATAGTTTTTAGAATTTTTGTCTGTCTGTCTGTCTTTCTGTCTGTCTGCCTGTTACCGCATCACAAGAAAACCACTGAACAGATTTTAATGAAATTTGGTATGATGATAGCTGGTTATCCGGGTCAACATATAGGATACTTTTTACCGCGGAAATATCTCATTTCTGAGAAAAAATACAAAAACTTCATTGTAAGAGTATAACCAATATGTAAAGCCTAAGAATTTGGTTTTTGGTCATCTGAACGCGGGCGGAGCCACGGGCTATGCTAGTTATATTAAATAAACAATGTGCCATTACTTAATTCACACGATCATTTTGTAAAACGTTTTGGAACTTATATACCAAATCTTTTATATTTTTTCCAGAACGTTTGCTAAATGGGCAATAAAATTTTCAAGAGTCTTATTAGAGTATGATTAAGTTTTGCAAATGATTGTGCTGCTTTTTTCCTTAACATCAATAAAATATTTTAAATAAAAAACTCTTAATGTGACTAAATAATTTGTAATGTTTAGATTTACTTTTTTTTAATTCATCATAATTTCTACAAAGATACAATCTAACTTCAGATATTAAAATATAGTTTTCTATACCATGACTTTATTAACTGAAATTTTGGCATGTTTTGGTTAATATTCGGAAATTTGGAGAGCGAAAATCATTATGAGTTTTAACTACCTGTTTTATTTTATTTATCATCTGTAAATACTACTCAAATGAGGTAAGTTCGATTTAAGTAAATCCGATGTTTATATGCAGGATAGACGTTATAGTTGCATAGATTATACAGTTATAGTTGAATTAAAGAAAACTTTTAGCTATTAAATAGCCAACAGTTGCAATGTGAGGACCATTAGATACCACGTACAGCCACGCCCTCTGGCACTCTGGCAGCCGTTGGGCAATTAGCGATCATTTATCTTTACGCCTCTGTCAAAACTATGTCGCTCTGTCCGAAAACATTCTAAAATACGCCATAATTAGGGACCACTTGATTAATTTGACCAGTCGAAAACTTTTGTACGTCAAAATTGGGTTCTTTAAGGTGTGAATTAGACGATTTTTCTCGTTGATAAAGGTTGACGCGGGAACTGTAGCTTTGTTGCTAATTATTCACGGTTATCTGTTAAATTTATTTAATTATATGATTAGCCTCGATGTCAGAGTCAGATGTTCCGAACGTTTTCAAGCGTGATTGATGAGATGATCATTTTTTACCATATTTTATTATATTGGTCGTATAGTTTTGGCGGATTGTGCGACCTTGCAGATTATGTCTTTAATCTGTCTCACCTTGACCGTCATTTATTAGGCGATTTCCCCAAGGTTGATCACCCCATTAGTTAATTACAGGTAGATTTACGTTAAATTTTATTTTTGTGATTCATCAAAGGATACACAAATGGTCTAATTAGTTCTAGTATGGTAATAAAAAAGTGAATACAGAATATTTATTAGTATACTTGTTTCTAATTACCGTTCATAAAGTTATAAGAACAAAACGCAGTGGCAATAAAAATGGATGAATAATTATACAATTTGAATTTGTCCGGATGTGACTAAAAATTATTTTAATCAAACAGTGGAATCTAAAGTTCCAGTCATTAAGAGCAGGACCTAAAATTAACCAAACTTTAGTATTCACTCGAAGTAAAGGGGTTGCCCAAATTATTCAAACAACAATGCCTTTGCTTCCAAACCTGTAATTTCCTTTTTGTGCTTACACAATCGGCTACAGCTATTGTTAGTGGGATGTACATTGGAAATGCCCTAAGTGGCTATACTTAGAGCGTTCTTTAGGTATGAAAGAAACATTGACATTGAATTTTTTACATTTTATGGACTACTTAAATTTTAATTTAAATAAAACTTCACTCTTCGACGATTTATGTTTTATTTTGTTATGCCATTTAGTGTTCTTATATCAAATATAATCACAATTACTCAATAAATAATACCTTAATAGCAATTATCAATGATTTCTAATTACTATCTAAAGAGAGTGGCTCGTTGAATCACTAAGCTCGACCAAAATGACACTTGAATCGTGTTCAAGCAAGTAATCGCTATTAAACCGCCTTGTCAATTTATATTGTCTCGTAAGTAATTTCACATTCCCGACTCGATTGTGAGGCGTTATAATGACAGGAGGATGACGTATGGATTTGTCGCTTACGGCGTTTGGAGGCGCGCGCCGGCGGCCACATCAAAGAGGTGGGCTCCTTTGATGTTGCCGCGGTGCCGCAGCCAGTGATGTAGTGTATGGGATACCTACTGTTTTATCGACAGATCCTATTTCGTATGTAATGAAATTTTTTTCACAATTTACTTTAGTGTTTTAGTATTTTTTTTTTAAGGCAGTGATAT